AGTTTCAGCCTGACGCAGTTATCATTTTCACGTCCTGTGCCACGTTGTTTAATTAAATAGCAAATGCATTTGCAACTATTTTTGCGCCCATTGCGCATGCTGGTCTGAAAATGAGGTGTGTTGGCGCGTTGCTATTTTGAGGCAACCGAAATAGACTGCGCCATCGACCAACTGAAACCTGGTCTAAAGTCAATGGCGCAGTATTTTTTTAATTTTATTTAAAGGGCGCATTAGTAATATGCACCTATAGGCGGGTCCACAACGTGCATACACTGCTTATTACACACACAGGGACGCGCAGCAGCACACAAACATGCCAAATATTAAAAAATAAAAGTATTACAATGTAAACGATGTTCTGCTCGCTCGCTTTAACCTCGCGCACGAGCAGATCCGTTTTCTTGAAGCGTTCAGTCTTTCCGCGTGGAAATTCCGCCATGTAAATGGCAATCCGCCATGGCACGAGCGCAACTGGCTTTTAAAGGGAATGGGAAATGAAACTGGTTTATTGCACATTACGCCCAAATCACACCCATTACTCATTAAGAGAATAGGGCATCCTTTTAGATCACGCGCCGACCATTTTTCCCGTCGTTAAACTATGTGCACTTGCACCATGCGCTTTAGACCATGCGCTTAGATCGTTAAAATAGGGCCCACAATCTCTCTTTTGAGCAACGTGGATAAAAGTCTATTGCTAAATGAGCCAGTTTTATGGAGAGGGTGAGATTTATGATTCATGATGGAAAACAACTTTCTTACCATCCTTCCTTTCCCAATTACATCTACAGAGGGCAGAGAGCACCTCAGTACTGAACTAGCCTTCCTAATCATTTTGAGGAGTCTTATTTTATCCCTCTCAGAAATCCCACTACCCCAACATACCACAGCATAGAAAAGAACAGATGCTACTACAGTATCATAAAAAGTCCTGGCTCACACAAAAGCTAGGTAAAATATATATATATATATACTTTTTTTTTTTTTTACCATACATTTTAACACAAGAGTCATGGATCGTTTTGACTTCCACAAGAAAGTATTTGCAGACAGTGTCAAGGAAGGGCGATTTTACAAGGTTGGTAGCAATAAAGCACTAAACGTACAAAAGAAAAACCTGTGAAAATGGTGAAAGCGAATGATTTCATGCATTTGAACTTGGAAAAAAAGTACTAATGATTGCTTTGAGAGGGTTCTGGTGAATTTAGCATGAACATAATCAAAGGTGTTATTCACGGAAAAAAGAGAAAAGTTTATATCCGCGCTGCTCGTCTTGGCACGCTCAAAGGATTTCAGGAGGAAGTTGTGATGTTTGATTCATGAAGAAAAAAAAATCTCAAACTCAAACTTTATTGTGTTCCTCACAGACGTTTGGGGTTGGTAAGATTTTTCTCTGTTTTTGAAATAAGTCTCTTATGCTCACTAAGGCTGCATTTATTTGATCACAGCAAAAAGAGCAATGTCGTAAATTCAATATTTTCTATCTTAATACACTATAAAATGTAGTTCGTTCCTGTGATGGCACAGCTGAATTTTCAGCATCACTACTCCAGTCTTCAGTGTCACATGATCCTTCAGAAATCAGTCTAATTTCTAATTGTTCTAAGTTTCTAAATTCTAATTTGCTGCTAAAGAAATTTTCATATGATTATCAATGTTGAAACATTTGATTCACATTCAATTCGATTCAAATTCACATTCGATTAAACGGCTGTATTTTTATTAACTAACTTTAACAAAGACTAATAAATACTGTAACAAATGTATTGCTCACTGTTAGGTCATGTTAGTTAATATATTAACTAATGTTAACAAATGAGACCTTATTTAAAAGTGTTACCGACATTTCAAAAGCACAGCGTTTATTTGAAATATAAATCTTTTGTAACATTATAGATGTCTTTAGTCACTTTTTGATAAGATTCTTACTGAATAAAAGTATTCATTTCTTTAAAAATATATATCTTATACTGACCCTAATCTTTTTAATAATAGCGTATACGTTTTCTTTTGCCAGTTTTATTGCTTTTGTGTCTTTTTTTAAGCTTTACAGCTCTTGTTCTCATTCAGTTTCATTATATAAAAAAGCAAGATTTGGAACAACATGAGGATTGGATAAATAATAACAGAACTTTTCCAGAAAACCTGCACAACCTTGCCATAACAACAGCCCTCCTTCAAAGAACATTAATGTTTGTTGCTCTGTGTGGTTTACAGAGGTGGAGTTGAGTAGCGCTCCTGATGCTACTATATCCTTCCACCCCCGCCACACACACACACACAATACACTCCTAAAGATCCCCTCCTGTGAGTTTGTTTGATTGGGACTGAGCGTTGGATATAGACATCGAAGCGGGCGGCAATTTGCTGCATCCTGTGCTGTTCAGAGGCTAATGGGTTCGTGAACATGTGTGGGTAATTATTGTTATGCAGAGCTACTAATTATTTATTCTGGACTGTTCACGCGTGTGTTATGCACAACAAAGCAATCAATGGCGGTTGCCCTCTGAACAGCGTGGGGTGACCCCGCGGTTATGGATTCGGGATGGGGGCCAAGAGGCTGGTGCAGATTGGGAGAAAAGCCAGCAACTGGATCTTTACTGAGGTCAAAGATGTGCTCCACCTCTAGAAGAGTGTGCAGTCACTGACAGGGTTTATTGCTGGAGGTTATGGAGTTGCAGTACAGTTGATTGTAGTGGGTGTTCATGCTGATGAAGGCCCTAAAGTTTATTTGAGTGGCTGTGCCATTGGCCACTTCTGAAAATCTGATTTCAAATGGGATGTACTTGCCTTTGTATTAAAACCTTCAACAAAATATGTTCTAAAAATAAATAAAACTAATACAAACATAATTAAAACAAATGTTAAAAATAATTTCAAATTTGATGTAAAAATGACGTAAACCTGCTCTATCATATTTGATACACACATTTTCATCATGATTTTATTACAATGTATGAAATTGTTAATATTAAGAAAGCATAACTTGCCAGTAAATATTCAATTTAAAATACCAAAGTAAATAATAACAAAATCTAAATTATTATCAAAATCAACAAAGATTTCCCAGAAAAAACAATGGACATTTTAGAAATTATATTAAAATGTATCAAAATATAATATATGTGCAGTTAAAATGTTACATTTGCTGGCAAAATATACATTACAGAGGTTCCCAATTTTGAATGGCTGTGTCTGAAATCTCCCTCATTCACTATTCCCTACATTACTCCACTAATATAGTTCACTTGAGGGAGTGAATGAAAGCGAGTGAGTGAATTCGGACACTGAGTGCGCCGGAAGGGCACTCCAACACGTCCACTATGGTTTCAGACACCACTTCAAATGGCTTTCCCTCAAATAGTGCCCTATTTAAGGTTCCATTCAACCGTAAGTGCGCTGCGAAGTGTGCTTAAAAGGGTTAAAATACTTTTTTAACCATTTTAAGATTCCAATCCGAAGCAGGTGTGTTTTTATGCGGCTGTTCACAGGCGTTAAGTGCGTGAGATGCGAGATTTACTAGTCAACTATCATAATTATGGGTAAAATAGAATAAAAAATACACATTTAATATAACAAAAATAATGTTTATTTTCATATCAGGGCTGTTGAATTTGACAGATTAGATTAAGTCACAGTCATAATTTATTTTGTTTAATTTATATGGATGTATTATATTATATGTAAGTATATTATGGCACCAAACCCTAAAAGAGACATGAACCTATTGTTTTATAATGTTTCCTGATGTGCACTTATAATGTAAGTATGATTTTTACATGAAAAATTTCAATTTAGAAATAAAAGGCCATTTCCTACCCAGATTTTAGCCTCTGATTTGAACGCTCAGTTGCAAGGGCCGTGTCTGCTGTGAGACTTCAGTGTAAACGCCCCCTGCTGTGATTGGCTGACATCTTTGCATATCAAATAAGTATTACATGTGGTATTCGCTCGAAAACTTTTGCTGCATTTGTACTATTACAGCTGTCAAGATTAATTAATCATGAAAAGTGTTGATTATAGCATTATATTTAGATCTAGTCCTGTCGCATGAAAGGTTGCAGTGATGAGCATTGTAGCCGATCACAGATAGGTCTATTGAGCGCATGAATGCAGTGATCTCATCATTGCAATAGATTTATGCACTCTTACGGATGCTTTCAAAACTAACAGTTCAAACATGATGTAAATAAGAGTGTGGACAACGTCATTGATTATAACAGGAGTTATCCAGACTCAGTCACTGATAAACTCTCGCTGTTTGATTGACAGCTATAACAATCACAATTTAAATAACTGATTAATTTTAGTGAAGTTGACCATTTAGTCACTGGCTTAATTTACTGACGCAATAAACGATTTTGAGACAAAGAACGTCTGACTGTACATGAATCATATCAGAAATCACTGATCACAGATCAGGCATTAGAACTACCACTGTTACTTACATGTTGTGGCATTACTGCCGGGTCCATATCTTACAGTAAAAGACTGTTTGTAAAGCTTATGCCGAAATGCGACTGGTTTACCAAAGAATTCACAGTGAAATGTACCAAACAACCAAACAATGCTCTACTGAGACATTCACATATTTGAAAATAAACATTCCTAGCATTAGGATCCTTTGGAAGGTAATGTTATTGTTAGTCCAGTGATCCTGTATCACTCTTCTCTCCTTCTCAGCTCACTAACGTACCAGTGGGCGGGGAAAAAGACGCGATGATGTAGAAGTAGGCGTTGATTTGTTTCTGCAGAGGTGGTCTAATGTGCGCCATAATGTGACAAAATTCCAAATGATTCGTTTTCTGAGCTTGGATTCAATAAAAGCTGTCTTGGACTAATGAGGAACTTCTGAAACTAACAAGTTCTGAAAGTTGAGTTCTGAAAATTACGGGATGTTTTTAGAGTACAATGACCCCTGACATGTCAAAAGATCAAGGACATTTTGATTTCTCAATTCATGACCCCTTTAAATTCCTCTAATATGAGCAACTTGAGTTTCATCTGTGTTTGATAACATTGCAGGATGTTCTGAATGAACGCATTTTGTTAAGTGAAGTGAACTTCAACAGGTATCCCATGCCTAGTGGAGCAGTGCACACTACATAGGGACCCTGTCAATCGGGGCACACCTTAATATCAACATTTTTGTCGAAACTGATAATTTTTTTCAGTATTTTATGATGACTAGACAAGAACAGCATTTGTTTGAAATAGAAATATCTACCTCGGCCAAAAAAAAAAAAAAATCTTACTGACCCCGAACTTTTGAATGGTAGTGTATATATCTCAGCATTAGCAGAGTCCTAAAGAAAGCCATCCCAACCATGGGTGTAGTGAAGTCTTTCAAAATGGAGAGTGTTTTAAAACTTTGATTTCACAAATACTACATTCTGTCTCTGTGGCTTGTAACAGTAGGATATTGTGCATACCAACAGATTGACGGTCCCCGGTGTTGTTGAAGATCCAGGTGAGCCTGGTTCTCCTTTCTCACCAGGCGGCCCCTGAGGACCAATGGGCCCTCTGTCTCCAGCTTTCCCTCTTTCTCCCTGGACTCCTCTCTCTCCTGAAATCCCCTGATCTCCCTGCAAAGCCACAGCCAGAATATAAATAACATAACACAAAGAACACAAGCTGGCTATAGGGAGCTGCCTTAACCTTAACTGATAATAGACTTTGGCTGTATTACATTCAATGCATGATGAAAATAATCAAAACTGCTACATGCAGCTTAGATATTTTCAGTCACTAATAGAGGTATAGATTTTAAATGTGTTGACTTTGATTATTGATATGTTTTCTTCTTAGGTATATTTCCTATGGTTTTCTTGTCTTCCTGATTCCTAATTACACTACAGTGATTTTGACTTTTTCTTTTAAAAACATCATTAATATATATTCAGAAGTTGAAAACATCATTGAACAGGTGTATTCTGACGCATAAAAATGTATTATGGCACACAGATAAACTTTTATATTGTATGTAATCCATCAAAAAAAAAAAATTCTTACCCGTTCTCCTTTAGTGCCTCTGTCTCCAGGTCTGCCTGTGGCTCCCTGTGAAAATGTAAAGTGAGAAAAATGGGGGGGTTTGGGGGAGGTTTCACAGGACATAAAAATAATCTGATGGTTAATTTTGCATTTTACATACAGTACATACATACACACCAACACACACACGCATTATACATACACAAAATTAACTTCTCAATTTTGTTTTCAAACTGAGAAAGTCTCCAAAGGTGATTCTGTCAGATTTAGCAAACGTCTAGGCACATTTTCTTTGGTCCCCAAAGTAAACCCTCATACATATAGACAGCTAAACCGCACTATTTTTCATAGACTGCTCCTAAACTGCATTAGCGGAATGAAATTATTTGGCTGCTTTAATGGCCCAACTTTTCCAGCTATTCAGTCGATAGCAGAGCGAAAGAGCTCGGTGGTTTTACAAATGACCATTTTCTCTCCAAACTCATCAAAGCCGTGAACTTCTGGATCTCTCATTCTCTTATTCCTCTCTTTCTCTCCATCTCTTCTGAGAGGGCTCTGTTGAGAAATACCTCTTATTGTACTCCAAAACCACTCTCCCCTTGCTTTCCCATCTATCTCTGCTCCTCTCTCGCATCACGGCTCCCACTGGCTCCTCAGGGAACATCTCTGTATCAAATTCTCCTGCTGGATTACAGCAGCCGAGCAAAAAAGAAATGCAATCTAGCCTGCGTTTCTAAAGCGGGCGGCACTTTGTGAAAGCATCCACAACCATCTGCTTTCATCCACACCCCCATCAGTGTCTAACACTCTCTCTCCTCCTCTCTATTCCCAGACTCCTGATGAGGAGAGCTTAAAGCCATCACCGTGCCCACTGAATTGTGTTTCCCTCAGCCCCTGCCATAAAAGAGATGGAAAAGTATGAAACGGAGAGGACCGAGAAACTTCCTTCCTGCTAGATGGCACTGTTGCACCACCGAAGGAGACGGACAGCCATCCATGAACGAAGCGGGGGGGGGATTCTCAATGAGTGGTCCAACACCCTGCAAACACACAGTCGTGCCATTTGAGAAGACAGTGACGTGAATGAAAGCGAAAATAAGGCCAGTGAACTTCCTCCCGATGATCTGCACCCGTTTGAACCTTTGACTCATCCGGAGATGGTATAAAGGGGGGAAAGGTAGGCCACTTGTCGAAAATCTCTGTATAAATTCTACCATATTTGGTCATGGGAGCTCAGTTTTGCTCCCAAGGAGTTTTGAGTCAGTTCGAGTTAGCCACAAAACCCACGTGAAATGCAGGAAATGATGTCACGAGTGACGACCAGTGCTGTTATTGTTAAAGGGGACCTATTATGGCCTTTTTCAAATTCCGCATAGCTCAATGTGCTCTGATTGGTTCGGCAGGACCATTGTGCTGTGATTGGACAAGCGATCTTTAAGCGTATGTCTTGGTCAGGAATTATTTAAATGAGGAATATTGTGATGTGTATTTTCACAGAAAGAAACTCAAGACTACAATCGAGGGAGTTGCTTAACAGTGCTTATGATATAGAGAAAAACTCCCTTTGGAGTGACTTTGTGCTTTGCAGACCTTTTTCATGCTCAAACAGCAACATAAAGCATCCTAAAGACTATATTACAATAGGTCATTTTGAACTAAAACTATTAAAAAATCATTTTGGTTAATTGGAATATAAATCTCAAATAAAATAGAATATAAAAAATTTGCCAATAAAACCTAAACTTAAAGGCAGGGTAGGTAAGTTTGAGAAACTAGCAGAAAACTGCTGGATTTTGAAAGTATCCAACAGAGAAACTCCCACCCCCTCCCTTCTGGGCTCCTTCCAAAGCCACGCCCCCAAAACACATGAACACGTGATGCTGACTGCTCAGCTGGAGGACGCGTTTACTGCACTGACTGTATATGCAGGTACAGGTGATACTGGGAATTTTGACTGCTCTTTCTCTGCCATAATTGTGAGACTTCCTAGCTTCCGGCCGGTACATGCCTCTCCTCTTTCGAAATGAGCGAGTCAACCGGGTGCGCGCATGTGGGCAGCTCCTGTAGCAGCAGGGGTGGTAGCCATGGTAGCGAGGGAGAGTGACAGTTCCTCAGCCAATCATTGCATTCGTTCCGAATGGATAGAGTAGCTGTGTTTATTGCAGCCCTGAGAGAACTACAGACACTCGATTTTAATACTCTCCTTTTCAGAGTACTTACATTTTAGATATGTATTTGTATATAAAGACAGTGTTTTAGAAACAAACTGCCTACCCTGCCTTTAAAAAACTTATATGAAAATTAGAAATGTTGCCTTGGCACCTATCTCAAAACAAAATAAAGTACAGAGATTACTAAAACTTGAAAATAAAGCTAAATAGAAACATAAAGTAAAAACAAAAACTAATAAAACTGACAAAAGCACATAAAATTACTAAAACTTAAAATAAATACTATAATAGTACATGATACTAAAACAACACTGGACACAACGCTTGATTATTACTGCAAGATGTTGTAGCTACGGAATAAACCAGCGGGGGCTAACTTGACCATGCTAACCATCTAAACCGAAAATCCGAAATCAAATACTTCCTTAATATAGCATGCGAAAAACAGTACGCGAAAAGAGCAGTAGTCCGAATTCATGGTGTTCAGAAAAAAAGTAGGGACCTACTACTTCTGAAGTGCGCATTCGATGGACACTTTACTATCCCATGAGGCCACGGGAAAGGATTTATAAAATGGCAGTGAAATGACGTAACTGACGCTCGTAGGTCACGTGATAATGACAACATGGCGAATGTAGTACGTCCACATTACATTCATACTACACACGTTCATACTTTTTTAATGTTCGCAAAGTAAGTTCAAATTCAAATGTATACCTACTAAAACAGTAGGCGATTTCGGACGCACCTCTAGATCCTTACAGCCAATAGAGTGCAACAGTCTGGTTCCAGAAGTAAAAACTCCATTCATTTTCTCCATAGGGAAATTGGTTTTAAACGATGACTTATAAACCTTTAAAGAGAGCCTTACTGTGAACTATGAGGTTGTTAATTTATGGTATTTGCTTCTGTTAAAGCCATCGGCCCACATTATTTCAAATTAGTTTTAAATAATTGTTTAACATCGGAATTCATGGTGAAAAACTACATTACCTATGATGCTGTACAGAAAATTCCACCAATCAGAGAATCGAAACAAGCAAAATGTGCCAAAAGATATCTTTAGCCCCACACACTCCCATGAAGCACTGCAAACTACATAATCAAGTCTCCCTACACTCAACATTTGTAAATGAGTAGTTTTATATTTCTCCATCGTATTTAATTCGATTATGCTGTTTGCAATGCTTCATGGGATTGTAGTTCTTTCTCTCACTAAAGCTGTCAAGTACACAGTCTTGTCGATTTTCAAACAAATGTTTGCTTCAAATTCAAGTTTGTAACGTTATGATTCACCTCGTAGCTGATTGGCTTGGTTCATGGCTCTAACGCTTTAATAGAGAGATTTTGGAAATCCCTATGTGAGAAATTAATGGGAAAAAAAACTTCCAACGGCGCTGGAAAAGTGGGCGGTCACTGTTGCACTCTATAGAAAATAGCCGCACATGAATGTTAGCAAGATGGCCGCTGAGCAAACTGACTTCTGACTCATCCTCAGCTCTTTCTCGCTCACCTCATTAAGATCTGCAGATGTATGCGGTATTTACCGCATTTGTCAGTCTTTGACGGAGGCGTCTATATATGTGCGTTTGTGTGTTGGCGGATCTCTGATGTGTCTGCTTGCTGCTGTAAAGTGCAGAAGTGCGATTTGTCACACAGTTCTGCCGTAGACATGAGTTCTGTTGTGACAAGGCATCAGAGAACACAATTTTTTTTTTTTTTTTTGACGTGACAGGGCTTTCGAAACTACAAACCTGTTTGTAGGGGACATTTAATTAGTGATCGCATGCATTATTCATGATTTAATGGCTCATGGGCAGGATTTTATCCACACTGGAGAGCATTAGCAGTGAGTAAGCGGTCTTATTATTGAAAACTTTACAAGACTAATGACTGGTGTTGGGCTTTTATTTGCTTGGGAAAGAAAGAAATCGAGTGAGACAGAGATAAACATAGACCAGCACAGAACCGAGCCTTTGTCCTACACTATTCTAACTCGCTGGCAAAATATTAAGGCACAAGTTATTAGATGCTGCATGCATTAAAGTAAAAGCATTCATTTTCTACTAACATTATACAGCTGAAGCCAAAGCTCTCTCAAAACCATACACTCACATACCTCATAGCCTGGAATTCCATCTTTTCCCGGCCTTCCCTGCGGAGGAGACAGAACATTCCCATCAATCTTTGCAATCCAAGGTAATTGTAGTTCACTGAATCTAAAACTAAAACCATAAAAACATTTTTTTTTTTTTTTGCTTGAAATAAAATAAATGTTAAGCTTTTTTTCAGCTAGTTGGAAAGCCAACACTTCTCATTTTCATTTAGTTGAACTTGGTATACTAAAATTAAATAAAAAATTAAATAAAAATGAATAAAAACTTTAGACATATACTGTATTTTTTTTTTACAAAACACAACAAAATTACTAAAACTTAGAAAAAGCTAATTCAAAATATGAATAAAAACTATAATAGTATCTCAATGATACTAAAATAAAACTGTTGCAATACAAGTTTACAACTTTGCATTGTTTATCATTTCCATAATTAGATGTTACAATAGGCACAAATGTTTAAGGATGCTATTAGAAAAGTACTTTCATGATTTTCACAGAAAAAAAAATGCAATTCTGAAAAAGTTGAAATTCTAAAAACAGTTGCAACTCTAAAAAAATTAAGTTTCAATTCTGAGGTATTAAGTTGCAAATGAGAAATTGTATAGAAAGAGTCGAAAAATAGATGCAATTATGAGAAATAACGCTGAAATTGTGAGAAAGTCACAATTAACTTTACTATGAGATGATAAACATATTAAGAGCTGAAATTTATTCAGGAAAACTAATTCCATAGAAATCAGATTTTAATATGAAATCAAAATCCCTGGTCATATTGTGATTGATTCATCAGTGCAGGTGGATGAAAAAAAAAAAAGTTTTGTCCTGTTTCATTTAGAAAAAAAAAGAAATGCCACTTGCTTCGATATTTTGTATCATCTAACGCAATGACATTCATGCGTTTTTAATTGCGTCTAAAGTATCCAAATACTTCTTGGTGCCAACGTGATGTAGTCTAGATTGTATCTTTAGTTAGCTTAGCGTACACCGTTCCACTAAGGTTAAGTGCGAACAATTAGGAACTGAGCTGGATAAACTAGGAATAAATCGTTAAACGTCACCTGGAAGAAACAGGGATTCCTCAGGGGAATTATGTGTATTCAGCGGAGGTGCTGAAGGCATTATGGCTGTGCGAATAACAAAGCAATTATATGAGGCCGATGTCTCTTCACTGAGACAGCCAATCAAATGTTTACCCCAGTGACTGCACACATTACCACAGCACAAATCAGCCGGGTTTAACACCACAGAACTGAGAAGTATATGAAGAGATAACTCTGTGCTATGAAGTGAGATATTACAGCTGAAAAGAGTTGCTGTGGTTTATAGAGAAGAACCTAACACGGAGCTCTGGTGTATGCCGCTCTATCACACTATATTAAAAATCATAGAAATTCAGCCGATCAAAACCTGTATATATATCCAGTTGCGTATTAATATCTCTGATGCTTGTTTACAATGTTTTTTTTTTCCTCAGCATTCTGGGATCTTTAATTAAATACAGCCTAGACTCAGCATTAAACTACAGGCCAGTGAGCGGGAATCAAGGATTGAGGAAAAATAAACCCCAACAGAATGTGTGTGTCAGAACTTTGAATCCACATCGAGTCAAACTGTGAATCAATCAGCACACTAATCAGTTAATTAAATCTGGTCTGCAATTCAAGGCAGGATCAAATGATGCATCAATCTGTTATAAAATCACAGAGCTGAGAACAGAGGACAGAAACTAATGAGAACTAAATGTTATAGACAGTAGATCACAGCCAGGTTCAGCATAAACGGCAGATTACAGGTAGATCCAGGGAACCCGGGGGGCCACAAAAGGGTCCACTGAAAATCTGATCAAAAAACAATAATAATAATAATAGTCTTTGATAAAACATTGCATATAGTTTTATTCTATTCATTGATCTCCAGGTTATTTAAATAGTTATGTGTGACTTTCTCACGACTGCAACTTTTCATAATTACATATATTTTTCAATGATTTATATTTTATATCTCATATCTGAAACTCTCACAATTGCTTATTTGAAAATCTCACAATTGCAACTTTATTTATCAGAACTGCAGCTACTTTTAAAATTGCAACCTTATATCATTACGTATAGTAGCTTTTTAATAGTTTACTCTGAGGTGAAACCTGTCTTTCATTTTCATTTCCGTGAAACTGCCAAAAGAACATTATGAAAGTGGTTTTCTAGCATCTCAAAATATTTGTGCTCATTGGAACACTGAATTTGCGCACACACACATAAATTCAGTGTGTTACATGTTCCCTGTTTGTTTGGACTTTTATGTTGTATTTCTAGTTTCCTGTGTCTAGTTTTGTAGTCCTTTTGTTTCATTGGTTCCCCTTGATTATATCTATCCACAGGTGTCTTGTCACCTTATTATTTTAGCTTGTCTGTAAATATTGCTGCGTTCACGCCATGTCATACAGTAGTCTTGAGATGAAAACACATTACATATATTCTGAGCTGTTCACAAACTGGGAATTATGTGTTTCTATAGCACCACTATCAAGGCCTAAAATAAATTAATCTGCAGCGGTCATGTGGTACAAATATGAGCTCTCATAAAACTCACTTTGAACATGAATGCTTTTGTACAAGCTGAAATCACGTAATTGCGGTAATTACGACATGGCGTGAACACACCTTATAGCCCTTGTGTTTCCCATGTTGTTTGTCATGTCTTGTCCTTCTAGGCTCTTATGTTGGTGTTCTCCGTTCTGGTTTCCAGTTTTTTTAGTTTGTTTGTATTTTGGGACTGAACCTACTGCATTAGGATCCAACCCTATCTCCGATTCCAAGTTCGCCTGCGTGACGCATTGTCCTTATAAATAAATATATATTATAAAATTAAATAAATAAATTTTGTTCTGAAAATATATAGATGCCTTTATATTTTAGGATGTGGGTCCCTAATAAGGGGATTATGATGTGTTGGGGTCCTATCATAAATATGTTTGAAAACCCCAGCTGTACGGGCAGGTGTGCATTAGTACACATTACAGATTACAAGTGTAGTGAATGTTAAGATTGATTACAGGGGCTCCAGGAGGCCCTTCGGGTCCAGGGAAGCCAGTCTCTCCCAGAGGCCCTCGTTCTCCCTGTGTGGAAAGACAAAGAGGGAAAATGGGACATCATCAGTCTCGCATCATCCTGCTGCCAAAACCTGCCATATGATTGACAGCAGCTAACAAGCAACAAAGCAGATCTCACCGGCTCTCCAGGGATCCCTGTCTCACCACGCGGACCTGGCTTTCCCTTCACAGGAACAAGGAGAGAAAGAGTTAGACCTCAAACCCGGTGTCCATTTAAACCACCTGTAGGCTGGGGTTACTTTCGTGTTATGACTGAAACAAGATATATACTATTGTGTTTTAATAATAGTAATACATACTGTAAAAACGAATTACTTCAATTATTCTAGTAAAGTTATAATGTACATAATGGAAATGCAATATTTATAATGAGATTTGCTAATGATTACATGTATTTTTAAGAATCAAACAAAGGTAAAAGCAATGTAAAGGTTATATAAATGTAAAACATGCACAATATTTATCATTGGCCAATATATTAATATTTAACTTACATTTTATTTAAATATTTACTATATTTAGCTTTTATTAAAGTTAGATTAATAATGTATGTTGATCTCAAACTAATGTTTTTTTTGTGAATGAACTAGAATATGCAAAATAAATCGGGCTTTTTATGAAAATGTGTGCCACTGATATTGTGAAAATTGTGACTATAATGAAGGCTTTATTCATTTACTACCTTTATTGCTTGTGGCTTATTGCCTAAACAATATACAGTTCAATGTGTATTAGTGTCATCTGAAAGCAGATAAATGACAACAGAATGACTTACAACAGGACCAGTAACACCAGTAGAACCAGGAAGCCCAGGATCACCCTTACAACACACAAACATAGTCATGTTAAGTCGAATCTTCAATGCAAAAACGCCCGAGAACATGTCGCAAAACACAATGATTGCTTTTCTTTCTGTTCTTAATACCAACTGTGCTTGACAAGTCCTCAAAACCCCTTCTCTGTGTGTGTGTGTGTGTGTGTGAGCTGCTCTCTTTCCTCCATATGCGCACTGCTGACTTTAGGAATTAATGAGCTGCTTTTAAGTTTTGGGGCACAGCATGCAAATAAACAGCTTGAGATCATCAGGCAGCCTCGTGGCAGTTGTGGAGTCGGCGAGCACGCAAAATGCTGCGACTACATCTTGACAAGTCCTTTCTGGGAAGAGTGGGCGAGTTTGATGCCGCTCAAAGGAGGAAGCTGTCTCGAAAAAGAGTCTCCATGCACCAGCGCTCTGATACGTGCAGGAGGAAACAGTCGGTTGGACAGTTCTGTGGGCTCCATTTAATGAAGCCTATTATTTCTACCCTCTCTAGTATTCTCGTATTCATGGTCTTTCTCTTGAATTCTCGAGTGCTTTGACTAAGCACTGCGGTGAAATTAGAATACTAACAATGTTTGAATCAATTATGTCTATCGGCTATCCTCATCTCTCTGTCAGTCAAACACACACACACACACACATGCACACCGAAACTGCAATGTCATGTCAAATCGTGAGGGTACAGAGTGGAACATCTGGTTGAGCTGTTGGAAGCTGTGTGTAATCTGGGACGCTCGGAAAGTGTGAGAGAGCGTCCAGTGACACGATTCATTCAAACGGGCTTACCTTAGCACCTGGCAGCCCCTCTAGTCCCGGTAATCCCATCAGTCCCGGCTCACCCTGGAATAAAAGAAACACATTCCAGATCAGCACAGACACCTTCATGCGTGAAAGTCTGTCTGTGTGTGTCAGATTTGGGGAGTGACTATGTAAAAGTGCCAATGCAACTAACTCCAGTACAATTTTTAGGAAAACTAACAAGCTAGTTATGAGTAGCAGAGAGGCACGCTGTCATTTTGGGTCAGAAGCCGCAATGAATTTGCGGAGAAATGCACAAATAGTGATTTTGAGTAAACCATCTTACCTTTCAAATTATGTTAGCTTTGTCACAATTTCAAAAATTTTGCTAGCTTTTACTGGACTACTTTTGGCCCTATGTACTTTTATAATGTACTGAAGTAATGAAAATGTTCACCACTGTGTCACTTCTCATATTCTGTATTGCGTTTAATAGCATTATAGTTTGGAATAAAATGGCAGGCTCTTTTGTTTTTACTAAAGCTGATTTAAAAGCTTGTATTTTATGCATTCTACATACATAAATAGAATTAAAAAACACGTTTTGGATAATTTGACCAAATTACAGCTGGATTGGGGTGAAATTTTTGGGACAGTGTTAATTTTGAACAAAATTAATAATTACTTAGTAACATTTTACAATAAGGTTCATTAGTTAACATTAGCTACTTCAAAACGTACTATTAATAAAATCAAAGGTTGTATTTGTTAACATTAGTTAATGCACTGTGAACTAACATGAACAAACAATGAACAGCTTTATTTTCATTAACTAACATTAACAAATATTAACTAAAATAGTAACAAATGTATTGCTCATGGTTAGTTCATGTTAAATAATATAATGTTAACTAATTAACCTTATTGTAAAATGTAACCAATTACTTTTAGGTACTGAAATGTTTTGTATTATTTAATGTAGTTACACACATTTTCTCTCTGTGTGTGTGTGTACACTCACCGGCCACTTTATTAGGTACACCTGTCCAACTGCTCGTTAACACTTAATTTCTAAGCAGCCAATCACATGGCGGCAACTACGTGCATTTAGGCATGTAGACATGGTCAAGACAATCTCCTGCAGTTCAAACCGAGCATCAGTATGGGGAAGAAAGTTGATTTGAGTGACTTTGAACGTGGCATGATTGTTGGTGCCAGAAGGGCTGGTCTGAGTATTTCAGAAACTGCTAATCTACTGGGATTTTCACGCACAACCATCTCTAGGGTTTACAGAGAATGGTCCGAAAAAGAAAAAACATCCAGTGAGCGGCAGTTCTGTGGGCGGAAATGCCTTGTTGATGCCAGAGGTCAGAGGAGAATGGCCAGACTGGTTCGAGCTGATAGAAGGGCAACAGTGACTGAAATAACCACTCGTTACAACCGAGGTATGCAGCAAAGCATTTGTGAAGCCACAACACGCACAACCTTGAGGCGGATGGGCTACAACAGCAGAAGACTCCACCGGGTACCACTCATCTCCACTACAAATAGGAAAAAGAGGCTACAATTTGCAAGAGCTCACCAAAATTGAACAGTTGAAGACTGGAAAAATGTTGCCTGGTCTGATGAGTCTCGATTTCTGTTGAGACATTCAGATGTTAGAGTCAGAATTTGGCGTAAACAGAATGAGAACATGGAACCATCATGCCTTGTTACCACTGTGCAGGCTGGTGGTGGTGGTGTAATGGTGTGGGGGATGTTTTCCTGGCACACTTTAGGCCCCTTAGTGCCAATTGGGCATCGTTTAAATGCCACGGCCTACCTGAGCATTGTTTCTGACCATGTCCATCCCTTTATGGCCACCATGTACCCATCCTCTGATGGCTACTTCCACCATGTCACAAAGCTCTAATCATTTCAAATTGGTTTCTTGAACATGACAATGAGTTCACTGTACTAAAATGGCCTCCACAGTCACCAGATCTCAACCCAATAGAGCATCTTTGGGATGTGGTGGAACGGGAGATTCGCATCATGGATGTGCAGCCGACAAATCTGCGGCAACTGTGTGATGCCATCATGTCAATATGGACCAAACTCCCTGAGGAATGCTTCCAGCACCTTGTTGAATCTATGCCACGAAGAATTGAGGCAGTTCTGAAGGCAAAAGGGGGTCCAACCCGTTACTAGCATGGGGTACCTAATAAAGTGGCCGGTGAGTGTATATAGGAAGGGTTTTACTCTTTGTTAACTTTATAATGGTTTCAAAATGTAAAAATATGATGGATGGTCTAGATATTGGATATTCTGGCTCTGGGACAAGGTAAAACAACCAAATCTGTACATAAATGGAATTTGGAAAGTGATGAAAGCATCATAAAAAGTTTCCAAGTCAATTTTAATGTTACCTTCATATATATATATATAAATGTAAAATAATTAAACATATATATATAATAAAAATCAACCCCTGGGACATAAAAGTGCCTGAAAAGTTGAAGAAATACCCTTAAATGATTGTATCACAGCAACGTTTTGGAGTAGAAAACATATCTTTAGAAAGCTGTGACTTTCCAGTTTCCTTCAGTGCATAAAACTCAAAATCTATTTCTAGTGTATTCCGACTGACGAAACAGATCACAACGGTTTAGCAAACAAACTGGTTGGGGGACATGAGCGTAATATATTTTAGCGTCCCAACAAAGGCCATTTTTCCAGCATGTCACTGATTATTTCAATTAAAAACCACAGATTTATCTTCGTCCTGACAAGTGCGTCGCGTTAACTCTAATTCTGTCGCATTACCATCCTGACAAAGCATTTACTTTCCCCCTTCCATTTTCATTTAGCCTGCCACGATAATAAATCACACGTACTTCGCCGTGAACAGAACAGCTCGTAATTCAACCCCAAGTGATTGGCTGCTACCCCACACCGACCGAACCTCTTCACGGAGCGCTGAAGAATCTGCGCTCTAGTGTCGTACATTATGTTCGTCTCATGCCTCAGTCGCTACTGACGGACAGCAGCGGGCGCCATGTTAACGGATTGCGACAGTAATTGTCGCACGTGTAGATTGCCATGTATAACAGAGCGCAGACCTACATGGAACCAAAAAAGAGGATCGACTGGAGACAGATGGGTGTAATTCTAGCACAGTGCTGGAGACTGCTGGGACCATTTATTCAAATGTCAAATTAGCATGGCGCTGAAAAATCGTTTCGCAAAAAAAAAAATGAAACACAAAAATCAAAATTGCACCCGTGAGAACAGGAAGTGCCAGCTTTTTGCCTGTCGGAGCTGAATTGCTGCTATTGTAGGGGTCCGTCGCTGATGTGCATGTGCTTTTGTTGGGGGTGTGTGTGCATGTACAGCGTTTACAACATCCCCCAAAGGCAGAGGAATATGCGGCGACAATTTGATTTAGGCGGCATTCCTGATCACTCCTATTGTTGTTGAGAATGCTGTGTGACTAAACTGTTGTGCTCGGCTGCTCTCGGGCTACTTCTGAGCCAGAAACTGTGATTAATGGAGACTAGCCAGAAAGCGAGTGCTGGCCAGGCCTGTTTCTCTCAATCCACTGGCATAGAAGGACCACAAGGACGAGGACCATTTAATACAAATCACAGTGACGCAACACTCACCATCCTTCCTTCATCTCCTTTGGGCCCCTGGAAAAGAAAAGGCACAGAATTAGCCCATGAAACTGACCTTATTTCTATGTGTGCTATCAATTAATCCAATCTGTGTAATTAGCTGGATGACATCTGCTTAGATATGATGTCATACACACTCTAAACAATGCTGGGTTGTTTTAACCCAAATTTGGGTAAAGTATGGACAAACCCAAATGTTGGGTTAAAAATGTAATTAAAAATTTTAACCCAACTTCAAATTTCACTTTCAACTGTACATTTTTTAATTGCATTTTTAACCCAACATTTGGGTTTGTCCATATTTGACCCAAATTTGGGTTGAAACAACCCAGCATTTTTTAGAGTGCAGTAACACACTCAAACAAATGACCCACGAGGGAATTATGTTGACAGAACTCTGTTCCAAAACCTAGCGAGCTGCCTATCTAACAAGACTGAGCATGATCCCGAATTTAAGAATCGAAACTTTTGGATTTCATGAGTGTGAACTTGAACGGTACTAGCAACTTATCACAGGATTGTTTCATTGGCATGACAGGAAGTAGAATTAAGTAGATTGTAATTTAAATGAAATAGTCACACAAGAAGGGAATGTTATGAATTTGTGACTAAACAAATAATTCTATAAAAAATGTTTTACCAAATATGACCATTTATATGTAGAATACATTTTTACCCAACAGATTGGAAATATTTCTAAGTTAAACATCCAAAATAGCCACCGCACCACAAAATGGCCACTACAATGTTATCAGATGAATATTTGACATGATTTGAATCTATTAATAATAATGATGTTAAGTCCCACTGTAGTCAATAATTTTATCTATTAAACCTCATCTTTGATCACCAAAATTACATATTTAAATGTTTGTTTCCTTGAACAAATACTTCATGCCTTAAAATAGCTTGAGTGTAACTCTACACCCTTGCCTGATTTAGTATACGCGGTTCTATGAATATGCAAATTAGCCCCGGCTCCATTCACTCGTTGATGATCAAACTTTGACGTGATTGGTCAATGTCGTTGGGAAGTGTTCTTTCACCTCAGTTTGTAAAATGAAAGTGCATTTAATTGCACCTGGTATTTTAATCTCTCTTTTGTCCACTTTCGACCACTTCTGTCTTGATTTCTTCGAGAGGATGGGTCTACGGGTGGATAAATGCATGGACTATTTTGCTGGGATTTTCAAATCTTTTGATCTAATGGATGAAATAAGCTCACGCGTTTAACATATGAACGCGACCGGAGACGACAGAAAAATAAAATAGGGAGAGCAGCAACTTTCGTTTCAGGTCTGAAAACATTGTGCTTGGTGCGTTTTTGTCTTCATACCAAACTTGGGACTTCAGCCGACAAAGATTAAATCCCGTCTGGCTAGCGCACTTCCCATGTTTACGCGTTAAGAGGCGGTCACACTACACTTTTCGTTACATTGACTTCCATTCATATGCATGCGAATGCGTCAGACCGGAAACGCAAGGTTGAAGTTTGGTGAACTCTGACCTGCAAATTCACATCACGTGAAGACGTGTGACCAGTGAAAGATCGATACGTCATGACGTGACCTCTTGGCTGAATGAAAAGAATTATATTTTTGCAGTAAAGTCGAGTAGATTGTATATTTTTTTACATTTTGAGTGTATGTATGTGGATGGATGGATGGATGGATGGATGACTTGCTGTATATTCTCTCACTGGGGTGTTAAAGGGTAAAATTAGCTTTTGAATGCGACTCTGCATGCTGTCATAGCCCTGTCACATCATTCATTCTCCAAACCACAAGCTTCTTGATTGTTCAAATGAAGTTTAAGTGAGCTGTGTCTCAGTGCGCTGCGGCACGTCAACAAGAGGAGCCACGTCCCACTCAGAACAGGTTCGGCTGAGGATAAACCCGAAACAAAGCACTCTGGGGGACTTGTAAGCAGCTCCTCGTGTCTATCTCAGCGAGGAGGGAGATTGGAGAGTGTCCTCTTTCAGACCTGCTGATAAGGGTTTCGCATTTTTCAGAGTTCTGGGCGGTCTGGTAAAGATGGCCCAGGAGGGAATACACTCTTGTTCTTCATGGACAGGAAGGACACATTACATACAGAGTAGACAAGTGTGCGTGTCGCTGTGTTGATAAGCTAATCGGATGATTCCACTAGGGCAGAAAAGCTCTTATATATATAGCCTATATATTTCATTTCTTCCCCCTGTTAAAGCGCTGCATTTCAATTACCCCTCCTTTACAAGCAGCTACATTGTTGACTATGTGTGACGTGTTTGTTTTGTCCTTCTCCCTTTGGGCTACTGTCATTGTCTGAGTTTCAGATTTGTGTCTGTGTGGCCGTGATCCGTCCTTCAAATAATGCTGCGTAAAACTCTTGAAAACAGCAGCTAAACCGAATACAGATTCCCAAATCAATGTAGCTTCTTTGTGTATTGACATTTAAACTTCATTAAAAGTGCAACAATTGATTCCCTGTTGTAGGTTAACTTCAAAACAGCTATTTATTTTATGTGGGATATCATTTAGAAAATAAATAAATAAAACGTACAGAGGGCCCGGGTGGTCCTGGTGGGCCTGTATTAGCCGCTCCATTCTGTAAACAAATAACAATAGTTTATCAAAAATGAACAGTATGACAAATAAAATTACATACTAGAATACCGTGACTGTGTTTTAGTATCAGGTAAAAGTTTTACCTGAAGCTTATAGAGACTGCTCATCCCATTGCCCTCTGCAATTGGCACACCCTGAAAAGAAGTAAAAAAAAACACACACACACACCAGTCAATATGATATTCTGGTCTCCAGATGTGTTTGGGTCTCTCCTTCAAATATAAGTCAATGAGATTTTTCTCCAGTTTTATCATTCATCGGGCGATAAAAAGAGTAAGGAAGGTAACACTTTAGTTTAGGGTCCAATTCTCACTATTAACTAGTTGCTTATTAGCTCGCAAATTACTAGGATATTGGCTGTTTATTAGTACTTATAAGGCACATATTAATGCCTTATTCTGCATGGAACAGTTATTTTACATCACATTATATACATCAGGCTTTTATGGACAAATGATATAGTGAGAATATGGAGTTCACACTTGAGGAGTTTTATTCCGAGGACACCCTCAATTTTATTCCGAGGACTAAATTAAAGCAAATAAGTAATTAAATTAATAATAACAATGCAATTTGGTGCAGATGTTATTTAAAGGACCAAAAAAAGGATGAAATTCTATCATTTATGTATTTAAAATCAAGTAAACCTAAGTTGCTTCTGTCCAGTAAGTGTTCAACTTAAAATATTACTAACAATATAAAAGTTATACGTTTATTTTATAATAAAAAATCATTAAAGATTTCACTGCAAAAAGACATACCCCAACCTGAATAGAGATCATTTTTAGAATTATAATAAAATGCCTTTTACTTTCACTAAAAAGGCATGTAGATGATTGTGTACAACAGATTTTTTACGGCAAAGGTTTTATCATGTTGATTATTTAGAGGCCTATGTATGAAATATGATAGAGTACGCTTTATAGGGTTAATCACTAAACTTTGTTGGGAAAGCATACAAATCGCTATTAACTGCTATTATAGAAATTACAAATACAAATGTACAAATAAAGTGTCCCTGGGATCTCATATATCATTTATAGCTAAAGTGTGCATTTTGTCCCGTCTGTTATCTTTCAGAGACAACTATGAGTAAACCATTTGTAGGCTAATTACACAAATCGGGTACTTGAGTAAAAGTACCCTCATAAAATATCTATATGGTTGTGACCAATGACAAACAAGTGGAAGTGTTATGGAAAACTGTTGGAAAGCATTCATTGCTTTTGCAATTCCTAGCGATGGTGAAAATGCACACTTTTAAGATTTCACACCTTTAAATTTCAAGCGGAGTCACCCTAAACACTTGCAATCAGCACCAGAACTTACAGGAGGTCCAGGAGGTCCGGGTCTGCCTTGCATTCCTTCGCTGCCCTGGAATAAAAAGGCATTTCTTTTATTTACATGCGTAGCACAAACTCTGCCTCTCCAAACACAGTGTGTGATTGCATTGAGAGTCAGGGCCAACACCATGCGGCAGTGTTAGCAAATGATGTGAATAACAACAGGATTCAGATAGAGCCTTTGGAAGTTGTGGATAGACTTGGTGCCCTTAGCTCTTATTGGATTGGCTCTCAGTGGAGCCGACCAGCTGATGAAAACGGTGAAAAATGCATCTATTCCTTTTCTAGTGCATATCTGCACACTGCAGGGTACCGTACAAGCTCGTCGAACACATCGAGCCGCATATTCACTATCTCCCGCTAACCGTTTGTGAGAGCATTACTCCAGCCGTTTATCAGACTGTATGAGTGTGTGACTCATACAGATGCTGATGGGTCAAAGAATTATAATGTTGGGGAAAGTGAAACAGAAGATGTGCATCACGTTTTGTCTTTATCCCACTCTGAAATTCAATATAATTGCAGAATAGTTTTAAAATCATATGCATAATGGATGGTGTTATGTTATGCATACATCATTTTATTTTGTTTGGTCTTTGAGTAATTAATGAGAGCATTTTAATGTTTGGATCATTATTCTCATGTTCATTATTCTTCAATTCTCATGTTGTGCTAAATCTGTACACAAAATGAGCAATTTTAAAACTTAATAAAATGATACGAGGCCACCATAAATGTGTTTAAGAGCGTTTTTATTCCAAACGCTATTAAAATTCTCAACTCCGCAAGTGATCGATAATCCAAATGATAGTGGCATGAACTGTATTTTTATATCTTTGTAATGTGAATCTGTCTGTTTTTTGTCTTTGTTTTTTGTATAGTTAGTTTATGTGCTGGTGAGCCAAAGACCAATTTTCCACCTTGGTGGACAATAAAGAAATACAATAAAAGTGGTCCATTTGCACTATATTTCAGGTTTTCTGAGGCCACATGATAATTTTGTCAAAACAAATTTTTATTTGTTATTACCTTTTCCATCAACCTCAGCCCTCAAATAAGATGGTTTGGAATAACATCATCAATTTTGAAGGTCCTTAATATTATATTAAAATCTTAAAGAAGAAATGATAACTAGATTATGCTTACCCGTTCTCCCTTTGGTCCTGCGGGGCCAACAGGTCCTGGTCTGCCAAGAAGTCCCTGGATGCAGAGGAACACGCTTAAGGATCATTTTGATTAGACATAACGCTGGGAAGAAAAAGATTGCTAAGGAAATAAACTAAGCCCCATATCGAAACCATGAAGCCATAATTAGCCATTATTGGGAGATCCTCACCGGTGCACCTATACGGCCAGTGGATCCAGGCAATCCTGGCACCCCCGGGGTCCCCTGGAACAGAGAATTTCAGATCACAGCTCAAAACTGATAATAAATTGAATTCTGTAACCCTGTACCAGTCAACTGTGAGCTTATGGGTAGACTTCAACAACAATACAATGAAAATAAAATAAATTCCTATTTTAATTTGAATGAAAATCCATTGGTCCAACCGTCTTAGACTAGCAAAATACAGTTCCATATAATGTTAGTATTGCTACAAATGCAACTGGATAAAGAAAACGGATTATTTAAATTATTGGACATAACAGTTTCTTAAATTTGTATTTGTTAGTTGTCTTTCAATATTATTTGAAAACCTACAGAAGAAAAAAATAAAAAATATTTTAAAAGTAAAACCTAAAAGTTACGAACTATGCAATTATACACGTTTTCCTGTTTTTTTTCCCTATGTAAACCCTGACATGTTTTATTATAGGTACGCTTGCTTGTAAAATATGCTTGGTTCTCAAAAAATTATAATAAATAAATAAATAAATAAATAAATAAATAAATAAATGAATTAATTAATTAAGAAAGATGACAGGCAGACAGACAGACAGACAGACAGGCAGGCAGGCAGACAGACAGGCAGACAGACAGACAGGCAGACAGACAGGCAGGCAGACAGACAGGCAGACAGACAGGCAGGCAGGCAGACAGGCAGGCAGACAGACAGACAGACAGACAGGCAGGCAGGCAGACAGACAGGCAGACAGGCAGACAGGCAGACAGACAGACAGGCAGACAGACAGGCAGACAGACAGGCAGGCAGGCAGACAGACAGGCAGGCAGGCAGGCAGACAGAGAGACAGGCAGGCAGGCAGACAGACAGACAGACAGACAGACAGACAGACAGACAGGCAGGCAGACAGACAGACAGACAGACAGACAGACAAGCAGGCAGACAGGTAGGCAGACAGACAGACAGACAGGAAGGCAGGCAGACAGATATATATATATAGACGGACGGACGGACGGCAAACGGACGGACAGACAGACAGACAGACAGATAGATAGATATATACCGGTAGATAGATAGATAGATAGATAGATAGATAGATAGATAGATAGATAGATAGATAGATAGATAGATAGATAGATAGATAGATAGATAGATAGATAGATAGATAGATAGATAGATAGATAGACAGATTGATAGATAGATGGATAGATGGATAGATGGATAGATAGAATTTGTTTCAGACAGAAAGGGAAAATAAAGTGACTGGTGAACCGTGAAGCTGAATAGTTGTCAACTATGACGCATCGGACAGCTCCACTAACTATAACAGGATGCATTTAGTTATGTCGCATTGCACCAAGCCGCACACATACAGTGTGTAAACAGTGTTAGTCTGATAACTCACCTCATCACCCTTGTCCCCCATTGGACCAGGAAAGCCTCTCTCACCCTTCACTCCCTATATGATGACGAGACAGATAAACAATAGTTGAGACAGGAAGCACACACTTTAGATTAAGTTTCTCTCTAAAGAATGTTCTCATACATTATTAATGCTTTTCCTTTGGCCTCAGTTCTTGCCTGTCAATGAATGTCTCACATTCAGGTACTGTACTGTACTGTACTGTACATAAACTCTTTTTTTTCCTTTAATTGTTGCACCATTTATACAATTTTACCTCACAACACCTTGTTGTAATGGAGGAAATGCATGTGATTGTATTTCCAAAAATAATTACAGCTAAAGGGAAGTCTGTGGATATATATATATATATATATATATATATATATGAAGTTCTGGCATGAAACTCTAGATGGTGCAAGCTGATAGGTCCTAACTCAGTTTGCTAGCGATCACATCGTTACCTACAGTACATAGTGAAGCTGATTGGTTGCTGTTACATCAGCAGCCAATGAGCTGCGGCTCAACATTCAAATACTGATAGTGTTGCTGTTAGTAGTGCAGCACGCTTTCAGAAACCCTCCACCTTCCCCAGCTCCACCTGTATAGTTCTGCTATGGGGGTTTATTTATGTATGATACATGTGCAGCAGCAGCAGCATGTCTTAGGCCGGATTCACATATAGCGCGCCACATTCTCCTTTTTCCAAAGCGCTAGGGCGGTTGCACTCCGGTTGGTTCTTGTCACGTGACCTACTGTGCGCTTATGGTGCGCTTGCGGCATTCTGAAAAGTTGAGATGTTCTTATCTCGATGCGGCGCGGACGCGCTTGGAAAAAACGAGCACGTCGCACCGCGACCGCGTCGCATCCATTATGAGCGCGCATACCGCGCGCCTACATTTGAAATAACGAACTCGCGCGCGCAAAAGACGCGATATGTGAGCAGGCCCTAACATGCTCACAGCAAATGTCTGTGAATCTATTGGCAGTAGCAAGTCTTGGTACTCGCTCTGCAGCAGCAGCAGCAGCAGCAGCAGCAGCGTAGCAGATCTATTCCGCCAAGACCAAATACATTAACATTGCCATAACCATTACCATGCCAATCTCTCCAAGAATTGTCATGACAGAACTGGGGCTCATATGTGTACTGATCACATGATTCTTTTCTCTAATCTGTGATTTATGGTGGCTTACCTTCGGACCCTCTTTTCCAGGATTACCAGCTGGGCCCCGCAGACCCTGATCCCCCTGTTGAAGCCAACATAGAACGTAAGGAGCCAGATCCACAGGACAGACACAAGAATAAGCAGTGGCAAAGACTATTATTTGACACTTAACACTTAAAGCTGGAATACACTACACAACTTTATGATGTCCAGATAAAAACTGGTCATCATAAAGTCAAAAACTGAGGACCATACAGTACTAAACTTTCCAATCATTCCCAACACAACAAACTCACGCATAACCGATTAAACAAACATGGATTTGGATCTACAGTTTACATTGGGAGTTAGAGATGAGTGGCATCGAAGTCAAATATTGTGTTCTGTTAATGTACTGTTCTGTTCATTGTATTGTTATTGTATTTGTGCTGTATGTTATTACAACACTAGTAGATGGAGTACCACTTCAGTTTGCGAAGCGTCATACACTACGATATGTTCTAAAATTGCCTCAAGATATCAAACATGTTGTGACATCCTCCAACTAGATGGAATCATATTCTGTAGCCAAAAAAGAGTCTGTGCCCATCACACACTACACAATTGTCTTTGAAATCTGTCAACTCCGACTGCCCAAAATCTGCAGACTAGCATAGACTTTTGGCAACTATTGTCGATTCGTCCAGACTGCAAATTGGGGCAAATATCTGAGCAAAAGTCATGTAGTGCATTGCAGCCTTTAGGCCACATTTAACGTATGAATGTCATTACGTTAGAGAACTAAAAAAAAAAAAGATTCATTTTAAAGAAAGACAAAACAAGCTCATATTGCAAGCAAAACATTTCAAGTTATTGTAATTGTGGCGCAGAAAAGTGAAATTAGTTTGCAGATTTGGTATCTAATACAATAACATCCATACATTTTTAAGAATGACTGTTGATACTACTCTAGAGCATTTTTTTTTATCTTTATATTATATACACATGCATATAATAAAAAAAACTGGACTGCAGAAATTTCTGGTGTATTTGTGTCTGCAAAACAAATCATTCATTGCATCAGCCAGAAAAGATGACAGCACTCAGTGCTAGAGAATCTCATGTGGAGGGACAGAATATTAATTAGTGAGGAGATGAAATTGCAGCCATTTTTACCTTTTCTCCATCCATTCCTGGGATACCCAGAGCTCCAGAGGAACCTTTTTCTCCTTTCTGCCCTGGTAGTCCTGGTACTCTGGTTTGACACACACTGCAGGCGTTCTGTCAACAACACATGCACAAGCACACACACAGTAAGGTAAAGCAGTCCAACTTTCTCTCCTTTAATCTCTCTCTCCTTCTGTTCAGATGAGCTCCGGGTGCAACACATTTTAAAATGAAGCTTTCTCTTATATGTCCACAAATAAAACAAAAGGATCCATCATTTAGAAATGCATGTGATTAAATGCAGATGAGAAACTTAATTTTTTTGTCCGTGCTTTTTTTTTTTTGCATAAAGAAATTTGCAGGTAAAATGAAATGTATTTCAAATGCAAACTTATCGAGGTTTAAAATACATACCATAGATCTTAGTAAATTGACAACGCATAGAACAATGTAAATGATTGGTCTACTGATTAGCCAATTTATCAAAATTAAGAATTTTCTCAAAATAGTAGCACAGGAAAAAAAAAATCTCATTCATCTTCATATTTTACTTCAACATGGTTTAAAATTTCACTAATGATTCAACTTTTCCTTTGACATGGAATGCAGTTTTCTCACTGGAACCTTTTTATTTTGCTAAGTGATATTTCTATTACTCTGTGTCATAAAGCTTTCTTCCAATTACATTGGAGGATTCATTTTACTTCCATCTCATTTCCACTTAAGGACAACTGAAGTAAAACCTGACACCGTTTACCACACTCTTCCTGTGGAAATACACTAAACAGACTCCAGTGTCCTTATTTGTGTTTATGAGCTCTACACACATTTATCTGTTTCTGTATATTGACCTTAATTGCATATCTGTATTGAATGCATGTCTGCTTTTACCAGCTTTCAGAGACACATATGGCAGAGCAATCTAGCTTTGCACATTGCTAAAAAGCTAAAGGTCAAACCCAGAGATACAAACAACTTAAAGGCAGAGAACTTTATAAAAGGTATGCATTAGGGAAGTACTTTTTTTCCCTCAAAGCCCTTTTCCTCCAGATTTTAACCTTGTCAACCTGATGCATTCAACTCAATACATTTGCCCAATGATATAGAGAAAAACTGGAAAAGCAAAAGTGGATGTGCTTTCAAAAGCAGTTTTAAACTCGGGGGCTAAGCAAGCAACTTTTTTTCTCTTCTGCTCTTTAAAGAGTGTAACTGTATACCCGGGAAGCGGATTCAAAGGTTTACCGTAATGGGTCGCAGGGATTGCGCTGACATTTCACACTGGATGCACTTTCGCGCATGGCACAAGTGTATCTGAAGGTAGCAATTTACTAGTGCATTAGTCCGACCTGCTCAATAAGTGTAGGACGATCCAGGAAGTGCATTTATATTTGTGTTCTTTGTGCAAGAATGGCAATTAGCAAAATAGCATGTGACCTGATATGAAAAGGGAGAAAATGTAACAAAAACCTAGCAGAGTGCTTTGACATTTTTAGATTTGGCTACAAAAATGTGTATCAGAGCTTCATTAAATAAATACTATGAATTCATATTTAAGGAATAGTTTAACCAACAAAATGTCGTTAGATGTTAGCAAGAACATCAGAGCTGCTCAATTCCATACAAAGTGAATGATAAATTATACAGCTAAATGTAAAAAATTATTTCTAAAATGTATGTACTTTCAAAGCATTTTTATGTTGCTTTTTTGTCCTTTTTTTGTTGTTGTTGAAATTAACAGTATATAAATCATCCACATTTGTAATGTAAAAAAAGAGCATCTTGAACATTTCACAGAAGACAAGTCATAATACGAGGAATGGTATGAGTGTGATGACTTAATGACTTTTTTTAGTTTTTAGTGGTTGAATTATTCCTTTAAAGCTAGGGTAGGCAGTGATTTTCATAAATATCATGAAACTCATCACGAATCTCTCGTCAGATTCTGAAACAATAAATAAGCGGTCTAAATATTTGTAAAAAAAAAAAAAACTTCTGAGGAAGTCTCAGGACCAAAAAAATGTCCGTCCAATCATTGCATTCGGTCCGAATCGATTGATAGGATGTCCTACCTGCCTGTCAACCTGTATTTCGACACTTCCCGTGTACCCTGCTCCCATCAATAAATCTATCTATCTATCTATCTATCTATCTATCTATCTATCTATCTATCTATCTATCTATCTATCTATCTATCTATCTTCTATCTATCTATCTATCTATCTATCTATCTATCTATCTATCTATCCATCCATCCATCCATCCATCCATCCATCCATCCATCCATCCATCTCTACATCTTTGACTCCAGCTCCAATTCAAACTCAGCAGCCCTGCACTTGCTTGTTCTTTTGACATTCAAGTATGTTTTGATGCATTTCCTTTTCTTTGTGTATACATATAAGCTGGAGAGGAACTACAGTACATTAGCTACTGTAAGTAGCTCAATGTGTTGTTGTGGTTGACGGTTCACTCCCAAGAATCTCACTGCGTCAGTATTTCAGCAAATTAGCATTTATCTTGTCAGAAGTTTCTTGTCGCAAAAAGATGAATGCATGATGCCCAAACAGAAACATAAAGAGCAGTGGAGGAGGAAGACAGATCGGAATGTACTTATAGGCACAAATTAAAGGGAGTGCGAAGAGTGAACGTTGAAAGAGTGTTTCTGAATATACAAGAGTTTCAAAGACAGCAATAGACAGCAATTCAATAATTTATAAAACACGTTTAAAAGTTACTCAGGTAAAATAGGGAAATAAGTGCACAGGAGGATAGACAGTACCTTCAGTAATGTCCCCATGTCTCCCACAATGGGTAGTGCTGTCTGAAAGGGAAACATTATTTAGAGCAGCATTAGATACAACATTAAAAATGAGATGCAATACAAACACAAATATTGATTATATTCTCCATGAAGTGCAATGTCAACTATTTTCATTAGCGGAGCAAAAACAAACAAAACGGCTGTGCAACTCGATATTAAGTTCATGTTTATAAGACTGTTACGAAATAAAATGTTACGAACCGGTTCTCCGGGAGGTCCAGGCAGCCCTGGTCTGCCTTGTGGGCCTGGAGGTCCCTTTCAGATTAAGAAACACATACATGTATGAAATATGAATATAAGAATATTCAAGGTATTTAAGAATTCTTCAAATAATATAATTCATACATATAGGGATATACCTAGTGGGATATGTCCAACTTTTGACATAATATGCTTGCAAAGATTTAAAAGCACTTCTCACCATATTTCCTGGCAATCCAACAGTTCCTGCAGGTCCACGAGGACCCTGTGAAAATAACACCGTTATGTTAATTCACTTCCTTGGCTTCATCATATTCAACAAAATCTAGATTCAATCTCTGTGTTAACTTGTTTAACTTCTAGAGTTTAACTTCTAGAAAAATATATAATATTGAGGTATAAATATATTATGCACAGTGACGAAATTGACATGCTTTGTCTACATTCTTGGATGTTAATTAATCCTTTACCTGAAATCCTGTTTCCCCTTTAGGTCCCATCAGACCCTATAGAAAATAAATAAAGTAATTTCCTATTAATCACTACACTTATCTCATAATACTACTGTTTTCAGTGTTATATGCATTTACTAAAACGCTAAAAGCTACTTGGAATGCTTTTATATAGTTGGGTGCACTGTCCCTTTAAATGAAGACTATTTAAGTGTTTTTGAAGGACAATAAAGTTAAAATTCAAATCAAACAGGTACTTACAGGGGGTCCCATGATTCCAATCCCAGGTTCTCCTTTCTCTCCAGCATCTCCTGGTACTCCAGGTACACCTCGCTCACCCTGGCAGAGAGAACCCCCCGAAAAAGTTCATACAGCTAAACTAAATAAACTCGGGTTGAGCGAGTCCAAAATTCAGTACTTGTGCCAAAATTCAGTCATAAGTAATGAAATTGGTTTAAAGGAATGTTCCGGATTCAATACAAGTAAAGATCACTAAAGACAATTTCAACTTGTAACTTGTTTGAACCCGTAAACACAATTTTTCATTGTTCCAGAAATGATATTCTCTGGTAATCAACAATGTCACTGATGAACCCAGAACTTTCCTTTAAATTATTCACATCACAATGCTGATATTTCTTATCACACTAATAAAAAATAAGAAAAAGTGGACGCAGCAAAGCACAGCACAGGGTAATTTGACTGATATGAAATCTGGGGCTGTTACTTTGCAGATAAACTTCACAAGCGCAAAATTGAATACTAAAAAAAAAAGGTTCACAGTAACCAACCTTAGGACCCCGTGACCCCCGTGGACCAGACAAGGCCTCCTCCTAGAGCAAAACAAGAGATAAAATACAAACTCAAATGAATACCATGTTCTTAGAACTTACGTAATATTCTATTTCAGACAGATAAATAGACAAAAGTGATGAACTTTTATTGAAATAGTTGTCTGTAAAATCTCTGAAAATCAGTGTTCAGGAATACTAAAAGTAGTGATGCTACTAAAGCCATCAAATAACGAAACAGAGAAAGAATATATATATATATAGGTCCTTCTCAAAAAATTTGCATATTGTGATAAAGTTCATTATTTTCCATAATGTAATGATAAAAATTAAACTTTCATATATTTTAGATACATTGCACACCAACTGAAATATAACTCTAAACACCTGCAAAAGATTCCTGAGGCTTTTAAAAACTCCCAGCCTGTTTCATTACTCAAAACCGCAATCATGGGTAAGACTGCCGACCTGACTGCTGTCCAGAAGGCCATCATTGACACCCTCAAGCACGAGGGTAAGACAGAAAGAAATTTCTGAACAAATAGGCTGTTCCCAGAGTGCTGTATCAAGGCACCTCAGAGGGAAGTCTGTGGGAAGGAAAAAGTGTGGCAAAAAACGCTGCACAACGAGAAGAGGTGACCGGACCCTGAGGAAGATTGTGGAGAAGGACCGATTCCAGACCTTGGGGGACCTGCGGAAGCAGTGGACTGAGTCTGGAGTAGAAACATCCAGAGCCACCGTGCACAGGCGTGTGCAGGAAATGGGCTACAGGTGCCGCATTCCCCAGGTCAAGCCACTTTTGAACCAGAAACAGCGGCAGAAGCGCCTGACCTGGGCTACAGAGAAGCAGCACTGGACTGTTGCTCAGTTTTGCATGTCATTCGGAAATCAAGGTGGCAGAGTCTGGAGGAAGACTGGGGAGAAGGAAATGCCAAAATGCCTGAAGTCCAGTGTCAAGTACCCACAGTCAGTGATGGTCTGGGGTGCCATATCAGCTGCTGGTGTTGGTGCACTGTGTTTTATCAAGGGCAGGGTCAATGCAGCTAGCTATCAGGAGATTTTGGGGCACTTCATGCTTCCATCTGCTGAAAAGCTTTATGGAGATGTAGATTTCATTTTTCAGCACGACCTGGCACCTGCTCACAGTGCCAAAACCACTGGTAAATGGTTTACTGACCATGGTATTACTGTGCTCAATTGGCCTGCCAACTCTCCTGACCTGAACCCCATAGAGAATCTGTGGGATATTGTGAAGAGAAAGTTGAGAGACGCAAGACCCAACACTCTGGATGAGCTTAAGGCCGCTATCGAAGCATCCTGGGCCTCCATAACACCTCAGCAGTGCCACAGGCTGATTGCCTCCATGCCACGCCGCATTGAAGCAGTCATTTCTGCAAAAGGATTCCTGACCAAGTATTGAGTGCATAACTGAACATAATTATTTGAAGGTTGACTTTTTTTATTTTTATTAAAAACACTTCTTTTATTGGTCGGATGAAATATGCTAATTTTTTGAGACAGGAATTTTAGGTTTTCATGAGCTGTATGCCAAAATCATCAGTATTAAAACAATAAAAGACCTGAAATATTTCAGTCGGTGTGCAATGAATCTAAAATATATGAAAGTTTAATTTTTATCATTACATTATGGAAAATAATGAACTTTATCACAATATGCTAATTTTTTGAGAAGGACCTGTAAACTGACAAAAGTTATTTGCAAAAGTAGCTTGCAACTGAAAAAGCTACAGTATTCTGAAAACATATGAGTTACTGTCAGGCTACTAAGCAAACTACTTTTTCTAAACCACTTCAAATTAGTAGCTTATAGCTTGACAAGATTTTAAAGTAGTTTTCTCAACATCGCTAAATATTGCATGGCCTTGTTTTGACAGCAAATTTTTAATTGTTTTTCTCAGTGTGATACTGTAGGCGCTGACAGTGCGAAAGAGTTACAGTAAGCATTATTTGCTACACACCACTGATGGAAAATTGATTTTTGTGGTCAGCAAGAATTAGATTAGCAAGTAGTTTTCGCATTGCAGACTTTTTGCATCCCGTGAAGTCGTAATACAGGATACTAAAGTATAGTGAACTGATTAAATAAATACAGCAAGGCCTTTTTAAGAAGTGGGATTAAATGGAAAAGTGTGTGTTAAAAGTATTAATAATAATATAAACATCCACTTTCACAATCTATTCAGTCCAAATGGATCAAGTAAAAAAAAAAATCAATTTAAATGATGTAATACTATTATTATTATTATTATTAATAGTGCAGAATGCGACCAGGAATGAGCATTAAACTCTGAATAGTGTTAGTTTTGATTTCATTCGTTCACTCTTTTCCACTAAAACAGAAATGATGAAGGTGGCTGATGACTTCATTCTATATTGATTTCAGACCAACGTACCATCATTCATCTGATCAACAAGTGCTCTGTCTGCCCACCACCCATCTGTCCATATGCTTCATGCTGGATGTATTGCCACCATTACAGTTAATATTATCTCCTTCTCTCGCAAACAAACCTCATTTCTTAGGTCAGAGTCCAGCTGGCATCTAACTAGCATGAAAACTGTGAACTCAAATCTGTCGATTGACCCCTTTTACATTTCCGGGTTTCCCAGAAGCGGACGTCGTCATAGTTGGGCTCGTCAAACATCTATAGCGGTGAATGAGAGACTACATTAAATTTACTTTTTTATTTCCATTTGCTCAAATTGCAAAAGAAATAATCCACAATAGTGTTTTCACAACTTTCAAAAGAGGAAAAAAATGGAGAGAGATTGATAACGGCAGTCGGAGGAGAAAAAGGTCAATAACCTGTCACTCACATGAGATCGACCAATAGCAAACCACAACCATCCAATCAATACCCAATCCAGTCATACTTTGAAGCAGTTTCACTTGGATATAGGGGAGAGCGCATTTTGGTTTTGGCTCAATTATTAAAAAAATTATTAAGTTAGATTCAACTTTTTTTTTTACACAAGCAACACACACATCTCTGCTACAAATGAACACAAAGTTTTTTTTAAAGACCTACCATTTTCGTACTGTTGCAGTGAAAGTGACAGAAGTGCAAATGTTACAACTTACCCCCTATGCGGGGTTAATTGTAACAGACAGAGGGGTTAGTTGTAACACTTGTGTGTAACACACATAATTCAGTACTTATTTTATTTGTATAGTTTGATATGTTTGTGCATCTGTATAGATAGATATCCATACATCTATCCCTCATCCTTCTATTATGGATCAATATCATGGATAGAGACATAGAAGAGGGCTGCACAGTTTTGCAATAAATAAATAAAATCATCAAATATTGTAATTGTAATTGAATTAGATTTGTGTGTGGCAGCTGCATGTACAATTATTATTATTAATAATAATACAAATGAGCTTAAAATCAAAATTTAAAGGGTTTATTTAATTAAAAACAGGCCATATTTTTAATAAATAAACAAGTGATCAATGCATAGTAAACTAAATTTTAAACATTTTAAATTCCAACATTGTTTGTGAAAGTCCAACAAAGTTAAATATATAAATAAATACTCAAACCTGAAAAGTTGTGTGGCTTTTCCCTGTTTTCATTTTGATTATCATTGTACACTTGGCGGCTTAGTTGTAACACTGTGCTACAACTAACCCCGCTGTTTAAAGCATATTTTAAGCCTATAGCTAACAGTTGCTAGGAGTTGCTGACATGTTTTAGCAAACAAGACAGTGATTAAGGCAATACAAAGTTAGATTTGGAAACGTACACACTCAACTTAGAAACCGAAAAAAACCTATGATGAAGAAATTTACTTGCATGGTGTCAAAACACTCTTTGTCCAGTATCTTCACGAAATATTATCAAAACTTTCTACAAATTCGTGGGAGACCGTCTTCTGGCAGCGAGAGAAAAAGAGCGGAAACACAACCTGCTTGATCCTGACTAACTATGTAAAAGGTCCGTGTTACATTTAACCCCACGTTAGGTTGTGCCCCGCGCTCCCCTACGTCACAATAGGGAAGGAAAGTTGATCATAACTTCTGTTGCATGGCAACTTTAAATAGTGATGATCATACTACATCATAAAATAGAAATGTGACTCTATAACATCCCAGAATCTATTAGATCTTTCTGGCATGTTGTCTCCCAGTGTCCCAAGTTTAAATTGAAAATTGCAAGTTATTGCGAATTGAAAATATGCCAATTTCGCAAAAACTCCCATATATATCGCGAAAAAGTTTTTACACTCGCATGAGGTGGTTTTTCAGGCAATTTGAAAAAGGAATATCCGCAAAACCGCAATAGAAGCAGTTTTTCCTATTTACAGGTCACCTGGCGTACGTAAAAGTCGATCATTCTTTAAAGATGGCGCGGTATGTTTGGACAGAAGACGAGACAAGGTTCTTTTCTCATAAAAGACAAAAGAATTACAGGAATACTGGATTCTAAACAACAAAGAAATGCCACAATTTATCAAGACCTTGAAACAGATAGGGAGAAACACCCAGAACACCTCATACGTGGCTGGTCCCAAGTATAAGGGTCTTTCCTTGCCATTAATCATTGGATAACACACCGATGTCTCCATCGATAAAAAAAAGGGCTAGTCCGATGGCTGCGATATATACGTAAACCTAACAAAACATCCGTTGACATGATTTTCGGAATGACTTATCGCAAGAGGAAAAAAATATGTTTTTGTCGCATCACATTGGTTAATGGAAACGCTATAAATAGTTAAAATAAAAAAATCGCGAAAGTTTAGCACAATCTGTAATTGAAACACGACCATGGACGCGGGAAGTAGGGGTGCTGCAGGTGCTGCAGCACCCCCTGTTGGCAAACTGTGATGACAATCAAATGATAGCTTATAAATATATCTCTGGTTGTTGTTTCTGTTCCACAACATTTTGTATGTCATGTTTGGGGTGTGGGATGAAGAGAGGGGTATTTTTAGTAATTATTTAAGTAAAAATTATTTAATTTATCTTCGGTGTGTAGTATTAGCCAATCAGGTGTCTTGACGCGAATCACGCGATTACGATTCAGCCTACGCAGCACAAAAAAACACCGTCTAAAAAACTGCTAGTGATATAACGTTAGCCTATATCAATATCAGCGCTACACCAAGATAATTAGTTAGCTCATGTCATGTCAGAGTTTACCAGCAGAACTCCAGAGCGCAAATCTACCTTTGGTGTACCAAATTCATCGTAAGGTAGAGACACGGTGTCTTACATCTCTGCGTCTTTTTCCTGCCGCCGTGCAGGCCCAGATGGTAGCCTATATGATTGTGATTAGCATACCTATTATAAAGAAACGAAGCTTTTACTATCATGTCCATTGATTTTGATTAATATGCACGAGGGAGAAAGAGAGAGCAAGAGACAGCGCGCGCGCGGCCGGGGCTCGCTCGCTCTCTCTCCCTCTCTCTGCTCGTTTGCGCCATGGTTTGCGCCCTGTCAAACTATGTGTCAAACGCATCAGTCATTCTACTCTACAACACTCACCGATCAAAAAAGGCTTTGGCAGCCGCCAAAAAGCGGACGATCCGACGGGTATTAAAAGATTAAATACAACCCGAGACTAAAAAAACCGACCCGGCCTCTATTTGAAACCGGCCTTTATTTACCCAAACCTGTCGCCATACCAGGCGTGTAAAAGTGACAGGCGTCTATTTGGGACTCGGCTATTATTTGAAGTTTTATGGTGTAAAGATCGTTGCCGTGCTTGCATCACTCCCTTACTCCTCCTTATAGTCCCCATGGCCACTTGGCCTGCGTGAATGCAAATGAAAAAAAAAAAAGTTTTGAGGGAGAGTAGTAATAATTCGTTACATTTATATAGCGCTTACTAGTAATTAATAGATCTGTTTAGAAGTGGACTTTTCCTATAACCACGTTCCTGTAATTGCTTGGTCCAAGCAAGCCCCCCCCCCCCCAGCACCCCCAGCACCCCCTGTCGAAAATGACTTCCCGCGTCTCTGAACATGACTAGTGTTGAGATCTCTTCTCAAACTCTAGATAAAACTAGAGATTCGTAGCTTTTTTGTTTTGTTTCTTTTCAATCTGAGAAAACCAAGAAGCCGGACATTGAGGCAAAAACCTTGATTTGTTGTCATTTAATCTCACAGGTGTCTAAGAAAACCAACTGAGCAATTCAACAGATCTGATTGGTGTTTTCTCTCTCTCATGGCCTGGACAGGTGACAGGTGTACCATTAGGATAGATTTACCAAAGCGGTGTTTTAGCATGAACAATTTTTTTATTGTCACAGCTGAAACCAAGGAGCTGTCATCAATAACCCCGGCTGCTGGCGGACCAAGAATGTGCAGCAATGTCTCGCATTAGCTGTCGCATATTTACAGGCATATTTACGTCATTGTCAGTGTGCCTGAGCTGTCATCAACGCGGTGGGACGTTGGATAAGTGTCGAGTGATATTCTGTTTGTGTCTATAAGAGGTGCTGAAAGAGAAGATATTGAATGGGGAACATGCAGGTGAAGTGAAAAAGAAACACAGGGATGGTGTTGTGTACCTACCCCAGTGCAAAGTCCGACAGAGCAGGGCTCTCCAGGTTCACCCTTCAGGCCCTGGGGGCCTATCAGTCCCGGTGCTCCGCCTGAATCACCCTGCAAACACACACCGACAGCTGGCATTTAGAGACGCTGTCACCTCCGGTTTGACACTTGACAGGTTGAGGAGCACCGCACAAATGCACACACATGCCCGCCTTCACGCGCACATACAAAAACAAGAGCTGGACGTAAATATCACAGACATCCGGGGCAAATGCCACCAACCTAGAATCACCTCATGCAGATTTAGAGGCTAAAAAAGCTCACTAAACATCCGCTACGCTGAACTCTCACATCATTAACAATGCTGTAATGATTGAGAGATCTGTGAGATATTGAAAGCATTTTCGCCAGTCGACTGTCTCACAATAGCTTTCATTTTTGTGGTCGGAGCAAAAAAGAATGAATCAAACATATCATTATTATTAGAGGAAAAGTAAATGCACTTAAGGCACCTTCCATATCTTAGTCTACTAAGACATGAGATTAATATATATACAGTATACAGTAATAATACAATAAAATGTACTAAAAGTAAATAACCTTTAGCGTCAGTTAGATGACGCGGGTAGGTTTAGGTCTGGGGTAGGGTTAGGATTAGATAGCGTCATCTAACTGACTTTAAAGGGTACCCTAAAACGTCGGATGTTGACGTATGGTCAAAAGCGTCAGTCATATGACGTCTTGAGATGAGACTGGGCTGAAAATAACTAACTAAAACCAGCTTTACAAAAAATAAAGACATAAACAACCAAAGCATATCAAATCATTAAAACTTAAAAAAATAAAAGGAAAAAATAAAATAGACCATTCAAAAGATTAATACATATAACAGTATATAAATAATACTATAATATTATATAAATTATACAAAAATAAATAACACTGATACACGATAGTTTTAGTGGAAGACTGACCTACTAAAAAAAAGACATTTTGCATAATCACTTATTTTAATTATAATCGTTATTATTAAGTCCTCAGGTTCTGTCACTTATCAAATACATTTGCTAGGTGTGTACCCATTCTTTAGTTCTTTAAACCATCTCTGAGGATCAATTTTGCTATAGGCCTTCAGATCAGAGGTAGTAGTGTACTTTAGACTGGATATCCAGTTTCATTACGCTTTCCCGTATCTCTATACACAATGCATTTTGACTTCCCAAGAACCCCAATAAATCACAAACATAAAGCAATAATTCTTTGAGATACCTCAAGTAACTGAAACTATTCCAGCATACAGCTTTTTATCTGCTTACAGCTGGTGCAAACTGTCGAAATGCACAAGCAAAGCACAGTGAAGCCTAAAGTGACCTTGTGCTTCAACACATGCAGAAACATGGAAAAATATCACTCTAGAAACATGTGGCCCCAGTCATGGTGTACTTCCAAACGCACAATGCTCTCGCGTACCTTTTCTCCTTTCATTCCGTCTTTTCCCGACAGTCCTGGCTGACCAGGAGAGCCCTGAAAAAAAACCGAGGAGCGATAAGACACATGCAGCTTTAGCAGTTCCTTCTTTTTCATTTTGGGTTTGATCCCTAACATCCCCCATCCCTGTGTCCCCATCTTTTTTTGGAATAAAGGCAGATGCTTGTTAGCAGAAGCAGGTGTCGAGAACAGATTGTGATGCTGATGCTGTTTCCTCCCACATGTAGAGAACTCAGATGTACCCGTCCCTGCAAATTAATTTTCAGATTACTGATTGATTACTGATTGTCTGCGCAACAATTTACAGCTCTGCATCCTCGTTTTTCTCGCCTCTGTTATTTATACGTGCATTGTCTTTTTCTGTGTGTGAGTGCGAGTGGGAAAAACTAAAAGGCTGTAGAGAGCGTGATGAAAATGAAACTAGATTTTTACGTTTTCTTGGAGTGTTTGCCCATGCAAAATTCCCTGTTATTACGCTAAGACGTTGTGCGTGATTGCGAGAGCCTTGAAATGCGGTTGCTTAGATATTCTGAGAGGTGTTTAGTGCGCTGCTATGTGATTGCTATAGGATTTTCTATGTGGTCAAAAGAGTTCATCCCCAAGTCTCTACACTCTTAAAAAGCCTCTTTATTGACATGGTTCAATGAAGAACTTTTAAAGCAGGGCTCTCCAAACTCGGTCCTGGAGGGTCACTGTCCTGCAGAGTTTAGCTCCAACCCCAAATAAACACACCTGAACCAGCTAATCAGTCTTACTAGGCCCTATGATGACGTATTTACCGGTGTGAGGGCGGGACAACCTGTCACTCACATGAGATCAAAGCAATAGCATGTCACGCGTGACCTTTCAATGTGATTACGTCATGTGTGGCGCATCACGGCTAGTGCAAGACAAGCTTTTTTGGTGTAAAAAGTATATCAATGCTTATTTTTTTTTAGAAAATGACTGATGGTTTGGCTAGATAAGACCCTTATTCCTCGGCTGGGATCGTGTAGAGTCCTTTGAAGCTGCATTGAAACTGCAATTCAACCCGTTGGTTCCCGTTGAAGTCCACTAATCCTGGAAAGTTTTCCTCAAAACCCTTCATTTCTTTTTGACTGAAGAAAGAAAGACATGAATATTTTGGATGACGTGAGGGTGAGTAAATGAATTCTGAAGTGAACTACTCCAAAAACAGCCAAATGATTAGGGCCGATTATATCCTGTCAATCAAATCGGGATGGAAAAACATGTCAGACTGCAAATCATACTGTGTGTGAAGTCTTTTGTGTTGAATTGAGGGCTGTCAAAGAAAATGCAACAATAACACATTAACAGTTTAAAAAAATAGCGGTGATAAATAGGCTCTATTTGACCCTATGAACCACCCGTAGATCAAGCCAGGGTTGCCAGGTCCGCGTTTTTTCCTACACCAAACATTATTTGTAACACGCCTCCCATCCAATAATCGCAGAGCTTTGTTCTGTTACTTCTGATAGGAAACAAAGTCTCAGCTTTTAAATTCTGTCCACTGTATCACAAAATTCAAACAATAAATGCAGTTTTGGCGCTCTTAAATGTGGCCCTTAAAAAGTATTTTCTTCCACTTTTATACAAGTTAGCACAAAAAAAAAACATTAAAAGATATCAAAATGTATCATGTATTCGCTCAATCTGTGTTTCAACCACATAAAGACCTCATAAAACAACTTGTGAACAAAGTGTCTGCATTTACCTTGCATTTACCTACATTGCATTTACCTCAGGAAAGTTTTCCAGTGTTCACAGTTTATTAGTGAGCTATAAAAAAACACTAGAAAGTTAAAGGGATAGTTCACTTTGAAATTATTTTTGGTATGTTTTAGCTTATTGTTTACACAGAGATTTTGGAAGTGTTACCTTTCACTGTGAAGATCTAAGGCCCCGTCCACACTACTGCGTTTTAGTTTAGAAACGGAGAATTCAAACGAATACGATCTCCATCCACACCAGCGTTTTAGCTGCGTATTAGAATTGATCTCCGTCCACATTAAAACGACTGAAAACGCGGATCACGTGACCATTCACCAACACTGGGCATGTGCGTGCCGGTGTAAACACAACTTAAAATTATCCCACCATGCTCTGGGTTAACCCCAAACTGACGCTCCATGTACGGTCAACGCTGCCGCTGCACACGGGAATTGTCACAGATCGCTTGAATAATAGCTTGACTCCGGCGCATGTAGGCAGTTATAGCGTTGTAAAATGCAGAATTTACTTGTACAACAGCTGCTAGCAAAGATATACGCCATGACTGATGACAGCACCCAATCACAGAGCCGAGCGTGAGCCTCTACTACGTCATCGTTTCTAAAGTCCTCCGTTTGGACCCGTCTACACTAAAACGCCCTCCGGAGATTCAAAACGAAAAACGGCTCGGCAGCGTTTCTAAACTTCTCCGTTTTGGGTCTCCGTTTTTTCCGTTTTAGTGTGGACGGGAGGTGCAAACGTAGCAAAAGGTCTCCGTTTTTAAACGAAAACGCAGTAGTGTGGACGGGGCCTAAACATATTTAGATATACAGGAAATCGCAATGGAAGACGATTTCGATATATCAACAGACAACGTTGAATTTTTTTTGCAACCGAGCGAGAGATCACTTCCGGCGCTTTCCGGCGCTTGCGCAGACCGAAGCGCCCACGCCCTCAGATCACTTGGACGTGGCTGTGTTTACAAGAGGTAAAAACGATATAAATACTTTTCGTTTTCTCACACAAACCGCTAATTTCAGGCCATCAATGTGTACTTACATTTAAGAGTCATTAAATCATGTTTAATTTGGACTTCTCTGTGCATGCTCTTTGAGGTGGTGACCATAGACCTGCATTATATGACTGACAGACAAGAACGGTTTGACCTAAAAATATCAAAATTGAAACTACTGCGGAAACAAAGACACCTACATCTTGGATGCCCTTGAGTTAAGCTAAAACATACCAAAAAATAATTTCAAAGTGAACTATCCCTTTAACACTTTTTACTGGTAATTATTGAATACATTTGTCATGAAGACAAGCGTTTATGAAAACTACCTTATGTGCAAATTAGTAATATACAAACATATCAGTTTTTATTTGAGTGTAATTATTATATCTGAAAATAAATTGTAGTTGACTATAATAGTTTGGGCTCTGTTGATAAGTTTAATATAATATTATAGTAATGTACCAAAATGAGAGGGTTCCATGTATAGTTTATTTGTTGTTGTTTTCCCCTAAAGAACATCAAACTATTGGTATCGGAAATGTAGTAATTGTGTAAATGTAGTAAGGAAATGTCAAAAAAAAAAAAAAAAGGTTCTTAAAAGGCTTCTCTGCAAACCTTAATTTTTAAGATTGTATTCTGGTCCCAAAATATGTCTCAAGTTGCCCCATTCAAGGTATTTTAATATGCATTTTGCAAAGCATTGCAGGAAAAGTTGAGAAGCTAGTTGTTTCCTGCTTACCGGGTCTCCAGGAAGACCACGGAGGCCAATGGGACCAGGCTGACCCTCCTTTCCCTGTAAGAACACAAAAAAATAATGTTAAGATCTTTTCATATGAGCAAGTATGACCTTATTTCAGATCAAATGAAAAACTCTTGCTTCAGGTACTCTGATTTTGTACCATCTGTGAAAATTGTAGCATTTTGACTGCTTGCTATTCTGAGAGGTCCCTTTCTGTGCCCTAAACTAAAATGAAGGCCACAATCAGCTGCTTTTTGTGACTGAACCCATTTAACCAAGCAAGAACTGGTTGCAATAAGCCACCCTTTAGAAAGCTTTTGGCACTGGTCAGTAAATCAGCGAGATCATGACAGAACTGCTCTCTTGCTGGTCAACCATGTTGAAAAGGTCAACAATAATTCCATCATACTAAACGTAGAATGACTTTAATGTTCTTTCTGTCTTGGTCAAATCACAAGATGTCACAATGGAAGGTTTACGGAGACAGGAGGTTCATACCTCAAGTCCTGGTGTCCCTGACAGTCCAGGCAATCCACTAATGCCCTTTATGAGAGTTGAAGGAAAGTAGAACAAAAAACAATACAGTGAGAAAAGGGGAGTGAGAAAGAGAGACATCAATCTTTCTCAGAAAATTGTGCCATTTACAAGAACATTTCGGAATAGATATTATATTATAATGAAAGCAAAGGGAAAGATTCTGCATTGCAGAAAAAGAAACAACAGACAATGAGGGCATTGAGTGACATTTTAATTTCTATAAAAATACATTTGGATAGACAAGGTTTACTTTATTTTGCATTACACACTAATAAAGACAGGTCACTTTAACGTTTCATTTCTCACTAGTTTAATTTCTCACATAATTTCTCACTAACAATGCTGACTGCTTTACAATCTGTTCCCCTGATGTGCATCATGCCAAATATTGCACAACATTTGGTCACACTTTATTTTAAGGTGTCCGTGTTACTGTTTAATTAAGTACTGAGTATTAATAATTAACTACATGTACTTACTATAGGGTTAGGATTAGGGTTTGGTTTAGGGTTAGTGTCATGTAATTATGCATCATTTATAGTTATTACTACAGTAACTACATGTAACATGTAACAAGGAAACTGTAAAATAAAGTGTTACCCAACATTTTTTCACAGGCTTTATTTACCTGTAGCCCTTGTGAGCCTTCAGAACCCTTTTCACCCTGGTGAAAGAAGAGAAAATGCTGAACGCAATGCATGAACTATTTTTCAAGAGGACATGAGACTTCCAAGGTCGAAAAAAAATCTCTTTTTGTGTGTCCATGCTTTTAAAATACCTCAGTCTCCCTCCTTTTAAAACCTCTACTAACCACTGACAGATCAAAGAGAAAGCCAGACTGGTCGTTTTGATTGGCTGTCCATTGTATTGATTAAAATACAGCTTTTATATTTTCCTTTTTTTTGGAGACAAGACTTTTAAACACCATCCGGCAGTAGTTCAACCTTTTAATGATCTTACAAACTGTTGTGGATACATGACAAATGATTTTAATGTGTGGCTAACCTGGTCTCCTTTCTCTCCTTTCTGGCCTTTATCACCTCCTTCCCCCTCATAGATTATAGAGAGCGGAAACAAAAGTATGCATAGAGGTTATTAATGGAAGAAATGCTTGATTATATTCCCAAAGTACACAGCAGGAGGGAGATCGTTTACTATAATTAGCATAGCATGCTATCATTTGACTAAAAAAACTTTACATTTACATTTGCAGTGCATTTCGAAATTATTTTAAGTAACATTAAGAAATATTTTCACTATTATACAGTTTTCTGCCTTTACAAAAATAGCATAAAAATAAAAATGTACTTTTAAGATAAAAATATTATTATAATTATAAATTCAAATTAAATGTAACATATATACAAAAAATACAAAACATTAGCATTTTACTAGTGGGGAAGACATCTTTACACGGCTGAGTTAAGGCTGCTCAAATTTCTGTTTGACGATCCTGAAGAAATAATGCCGCTCTGACCCACTTCACCCCCTAGTATCAATGTTTACAGTTATAATTGCTGTGCAAATGCATTTATGCCACCCCTGAGCATCATTAAACATTCGGTGTCAATGCCATTTCAGAAGAGCTTCAGTGCCACCTTTGCTGTGTACATTTGGCATCAGACGCCACAGTATTTCAAAATATTGTAAAAAGCCTAACATCCAAACTTACAGGTCCAGAAAGAAGTCTCAGTCCATGTGCTGTCATGACCTGTATAAAGAAAAAAGATGATCTTTAATATTGATGTCAACTTATGCTGTTGCAGAAAACCATCACGAGAGGCAGCATTGACTGCAACTGCAGCGTACATGTGCTAGAATGAACCCATCGGTTATGATTTAATGTTTTCTCACGCTCTGCTCTTAGATCTCAGTTCAGTGAAAACCTCAACATCTCCACACAAGAATAAAACAGAAGCTTCCTCTCTCTCTGTCTGGATGGCCTCTATGTGAGAGATTAACATTAATCCAGGGCTTATGACATTTAAAATGCCAAGAGCCTTTTACTGCAACAAGAACCTCGAGAAATACAGACCCTCTTCAAGGCACATGGAGGGGAATTCTGAATCTGCTTTATGGCTTTCCATTTACCCATTAACTACCAGTGCTCAGCAGGGTTTAGTAGCCTGTCAATCATTCTGACGGCTTTCAGTCAACGGTGAAAGACAGATCGTTCCGTTGGATGTATCTGCGGATTCATCTACTGTCTTTCATGCGGTGTAAAACAAGCCATGAATAAAGATGAAACAACAGGAGGCCGGATGTAACTTCAAGACAAAGTTGGTCTAGAGAACAAAATGTAGATTGTTTTCTTGTTCATTGTGAGGAATAAAAGCATGCAAAATATATGAGCTCTGCTCCCAAACCTATAGTGAGATTCATAGCTTTATAATCCGTGCATAGGAAGTTGCACGGAATGATTCCAACACAGTTCAGTGTTAGAATGTTAATGACACAATACTGTAAACATACAAATATATCACACACAAATATTGGGCAAAACTTTTCAAATCATTTTTAATGTCATTTTTAAGAACTTTTTTTAAACAAAAAAAATGAAATATACTGAATAGTTTCATTACATACGGAAAAGAACTTTGTGATTCTCTCTTTGTCTTTTGTGGTCTGATTGCAATGGCAGACAGCAGCAGACCTGTGTATTAGGCTGCTGTCACTTTAAGACCGAATGCACGAATCCAATATAATGACTGACGAGCATCTGATTTTCTCCCTATTGTTTACTTTCACCAAACGTAAAGCCAAAATTACCGCATCTTAGAAGATTTAGATCTCTTGCAATTTTAATAACTTATCAAGCACGTTTTCCCTTTTATTTTCTCACTCTCCCACGTTTCTTTATCGCTCAAACGTGTCAGTTGCTTTAAGCAGTCATGTCGCAAGCCATTGACATGGTTTTAAGATTTCAGGCCTTATTTTTACATATACAAATTTAAGACGTTTTAAGACATTTCAAGGATCCGCTTTGACCTTGTATTTTAATATACTTAAAAATGTAATTTATTCCTGTTATAACAAAGCTGAATTTTCAGCATCATTAGTCCAGTCTTCAGTGTTATTATTATTAGTGTTGAAAACAGTTGTACTGCTTAATATTTTTGTGGAAAACTTTATACTTTTAATCAATGCATCCCTGCTGAGTATTTCATTTTTCAAATCTTTCAATTTTACTGACCCCAAGCTTTTGAACAGTAGTGCAAGTAAAATTTCTTGCCACATGGTATGGCATATTTACTACTAGTGTGAATTTGTGTACATTTAGATTTAGTTCGCCTCGGTCAGTCGATAACTTTCTTTAAAAGTAATACTGCCTTGAATTATGCCAAAATTACAGCATCTTAGAAGGCAGCTTATTTTTGCAATTGTTTGGACCTGCGTCAGCAGTGAAACTAATTTATGTATAGGTAGGCAGCTCACAAGGTTTAAAAAAAGAGCTTTGATGTGCAATACATCATCATAAAACAAGTAAAAAAAAAAAAGCAATCCATTGAACTCAGCTGAGCACAACCATACATTGACTTGCTCTAGTCTGAGCTCAGAAAAACAGCTAATTACCATTTAACAAGAATGTAATTAAAATCTTGAAATGGGATTTAGGTTATAGTTGTTCAAAGATTTTTTTTTTCTCCTTGGACAGAAAAAAAAAACATTACACATCCTTAATTAAAAGAGAACTAGCTCTAAACAACACGCTCCATTCAGAGCCAGTTACAATCAAATTACAAACTAAAGAGGAAACCATGAGAGAATAATCAAACTCTTAAAAGCCAGTTCATATTTGAGTCACCCATCATCGTAATTAGCCGTTTCAGAACAGGAGAAACAACAACAAAAAAAGATTCTTTAGTCTTCCTCAATCTTTGTAAATTGGTTCAAAAGGGCCACAGTCATCTCGCTTTTCCCATTTAGCTAGAGATTCACACAGCAGGCAGCATCAATTGATTTTGTGCCCTGCTGTCAAATCGCACCTCTCGTCTCCCCCCTTTGATTTAATTGACACCAGCGATGCTGTTCCAAACCTGCAAATTTCTTGCTAAGTGCGACCAAAAAGCTTTCGGCTTCCCGGCTCTCGAAGTTTTTCTTATTACCGGTACTGGCCAGTCAAGATGAAGACGATGAACAGTGCTGCATTTATGCAGTGAACTCTCTACTGTCCGTATTAGGAAATATGTTGGTGCTGGTAGTTCATTTCAACTTGGATGAATATAAAAATACAGAATGAACAAGAAATAAAGAAATCCTAGATCGCGTTTTCATGTAGACGCGTCTTCCCGGATGTATGAAAGTGAGCGAATTGTTCTCATCGATCATGTGTCTTTTCAAATAAGCATTAAACTAGTGGCCAAACTGAGGGACCTGGGGCTGCCACACACCACCTGCACATGGATCAACAGCTTCCTCTCTGGGAGTAGACAGAGGGTCAGAGTGGGTAATCACACATCTACGGCCTTAAGCCTCAGCACCGGCTCCCCCCAGGGCTGTGTGCTGAGCCCCTTGCTCTATTCCCTATATACATATGACTGTACCCCAACCCACCACGGCAACACCATGGTGAAATTTGCTGATGACACCACAGTGGTGGGGCTCATTTCGGGGGGGAACGAGTCTGCCTACAGGGATGATGTGGAGCGGCTGACAGTGTGGTGCAGCGATAATAATCTCCTTCTGAACACCGCAAAGACCAAGGAGCTTATTATAGACTACAGGAAAAAGAAAACAATCATTCAACCACTTATTATCAATGGGGACTGTGTGGAGCGGGTGGCAGACTTCAGCTTCCTGGGAGTCCACATTGAGGAGGGTCTAACCTGGAGCAAGAACACCTCTGAGCTAATAAAAAAGGCCCAGCAGAGACTTTATTTCCTGAGAGTACTCAGGAGGAACAACATCACACAGAGGTTGCTGGTGTCCTTTTATCAAGCCTCCATAGAGAGCTTGCTGACATACTGCATGTGCGTGTGGTACACCAGCTGCACAGTGGCTCACAGGAAAGCGCTCCAGAGGGTCATCAACACCGCACAGAAGATCGCTGGCTGCCCTCTCTCCACACTGGAAGAACAGTTCCCGCTGCTTCAAAAAAATCCAGAACATTTTAAATGATACCTCTCACCCAGGCCACCCCCTGTTCGAACTGTTACCATCAGGCAGACGGTACAGATCCATCAGGGCAAAAACTAATAGACTCAAAAACAGTTCTCTTACGAGAGTATCTCTCGTACTGCGTAATAGCTTACGCTAGGGGAAAAACTCTTTTCCACGAGATATTGAAGCCAAAAATTATCCTTAATTTTTTATTAATGTAAAACGCTTTGCAGCAGCAAGCAAACATAGGCGAAACAGCTCGCGCGCCTATTGGTTGCTCTGCAGCAAATGCAGCAGCCTATCGAGAGAGACTCTGCGTGACGTAATGACCAATGGGGGCCATTCGCGCCCATATCGTCACGTCCCGCCAGAAGGGGCGTGGTCTCACCCTATAAATATGCTCGTTAGGCTGGTACAAGCTGATTTTTATCTCTTCAGCGACGCACACGCATCGCTGGATCCGGAGTGAGAAGCCGCGCCGTCGAAGCAAGCCTTTCAGCGGGACGAGCTCTGGAGTCGCTGGCCTCGCCGCCTTCAACTGCCGTACCTGCTGCGCTTTCCGGCGTTCTATATCCTTTTATACTCTGTGTATCTTTACTCTGCTGAGAGTGTTTGCTCGCTTACTTGACGCGACTCACACTTCTCTCACAAAAGAGCTGCGTCTTTTTAAAGATGCCTTCCTGTGGCTCGTGCCGCGCCCCGCTCAGCGATGGAGACCGGCACGTCATCTGTGTTTCCTGCCTGGGTGAGGATCACGCGGCTCTCGCGCTCGCTGACGGCGGATGCCCTCATTGCGAGTTTTTGCCTATGGTGACTCTGAGGACTCGCCTGGCTTCATTCTCCGAGCCTTCACCGCAGCCCGCCGTGGTGCCGCGCCGCAAGAAGCGCCGCGCCCAGCACGCTCCCGAGCTTTCTCCAGCCCGCCAAAGCTCGCCGGTTCGCCCGCCAGCTTCGCCGGCTTCGCTCGAGTCGCTCACTGACGGACAACGGCCGCCGCCTGCCGCCGCGTCCATCCACGAGTTTGACGAACCCACCGAGGCGTGTTCTCTTCTGGCATCCGATAGCGAGGATTGGGCGAGCTCCGTGGACCTCCCCTCCGCTAGCGTTTCCCGCCAGACCACTGGTAAGAGAGCCGGCATTGAGACTGAGCTGATGCGTCTGCTCTCTCAGGCCGTGGAAAGCATCGGCCTCGATTGGGAGGCGCCCGCGCAGCCGCCGCGCAACAGACTGGACGGACGCTTTCTCGGAAATGACGAGGCTCCGTCAAAGTCAAGGCCCGCGCCCTTCCTCCCGGAACTTCACGAGGAAGTGACTAAATCGTGTAACGCCCCCTTCTCCGCCAGGCTGCGTACCTCTGCCTCTGCTGCTTTCTCCTCGGTGGATGGCGCGAAGGACAGAGGATACCTTTCCGTTCCTCCTGTGGAACCAGCTGTAGCGTCTCATCTCTGCCCGCCCTCCGCTGGACGGCGCGCTCACACGACGCTACCATCTAAAGCCTGCCGAGTGACGTCAGCCATGCACGGACGCGCTTACACCGCCGCCGGGCAAGCAGTTTCAGCGCTGCACACTATGGCTATCCTGCAGATCTTCCAGGCCGACCTTCTCCTTAAA